TGTGGGCATGGTAACCTCTCTCAGAGTAGACAAATTATAGGCAGATAGGTCCAGGGGTTTTTATGCTGGACACCTTTAAAATATATTGTTTGGTTTAAAAAAGGAATAGTCTATAACTTTATTCTTTGGTGGAGCTTTATGAAATTTGCAAGCCTAGTACTTCTTCCTGATGGGGTGAATTCAGAAAAGTCCATGTAGTGGTTTTCCTACAAGAGCAACTTCTACTGCTGGGATGGTTGGAAAAAGGATTCCCTTAAATCTCCCCTGGTGTTTAATTATAGGCATGACCTGTCAGCCATAGCCAGCATGGTGTAGTGGTTAAGAGCAGTAGACTCGTAATCTGGGGAACTGGCTTCGCATCTCCGCTCCTCCACATGCAGCTGCTGGGTGACCTTGGGCTAGTCACACTTCTTTGAAGTCTCTCAGCCCCACTCACCTCACAGAGTGTTTGTTGTGGGGCAGGAAGGGAAAGGAGATTTTTAGCCGCTTTGAGACTCCTTAGGGTAGTGATAAAGTGGGATATCAAATCCAAACTCTTCTTCTTCTCTCTCTCAGGGGTACTCTGGCATTTGTTCTATTTCCCTTCTCCTTCCCTTCTTCCCCTCACAGTTTCCTTAAACGGTGAGATGAAATACAAGTAGCTTAGCTTTCCGCAGACTCTTGCCTGGAGGGATTTTTTGGCACCTGAGTCGCCAAGGCACCATGAGATGCTTCAGCGGGTCCCCATTTTGATTGAAGGCACCTCATGTGCAGATCCCGTTTTGCTTCAGGCAAGCTGGGAATCCCACCAAAGCACTCCACATTGGGTTGGGAGTCATCAAAATCTGCTGCACACCCTTATTCAATGCTATTTTTCTTGACAAAGAGGTGCTGGAACTCCCCATGAACATCTCCCTCTTTCTCTTACCTGAGAGGGGCCAGAACTGAGTTCCGGCGAGTTCCATCTGGTAAAAAAGTCCTGTATACATTCCCTCCAGAATTAGAGGCAGTGTGCTTCTGAATATCAATCGCTGAGGGACAATAGCAGGAGACGGCTATTATGCTCATGTCCTGTATTATGCTCATGAGAACCAGTGTGGTGTAGTGGTTAAGAGCAGTGGACTCGTAATCTGGTGAACCGGGTTCGATTCCCCACTCCTCCACGTGCAGCTGCTGGGTGACCTTGGGCCAGTCACGCTTCTCTGAAGTCTCTCAGCCTCACTCACCTCACAGAGTGTTTGTTGTGGGGGAGGAAGGGAGAGGAGATTGTGAGCCAATTTGAGACTCCTTAGGGTATTGATAAAGCGGGATATCAAATCCAAACTCCTCCTCCTCCTCCTGTTTGTTGGCTTCCCACAGGCCTCTGGTTGGCCTCTGTGAAAGCAGGATGCTGAACTAGCCTTTGTAATGATCCACCAAGACCCTTCTCATGTCTGTAAGCAGCACACAAGTCCATGGACATGTAAATTTTCTGCAGTGATGCCTAGCGGTCCACCATCAATCCTAGTTGCGTTTTTTTAAAAATCAATCTGCATTTGCCACAATAATCCTAATGAATAGAGTTGTAAATCATGCCCCAACATGGGGGGGGGGAGATGCTCCCCTCAAATATAAGGATGTCTATTTCTAAAATCACATCTTCCCAACCAGGAAGCGCTGGATAATGGTAGGTAGGATTTAGTGCAACCACGTTTGGGATAGATTGAGGACTAGTCTGTCAGAGAGATTCTGCGGTGCTGAGAGGCAAAGAAGGAAGCAAGCATATTGTCCTTATAGGTATAAGAATTATAATATACAAATGAGAAGGGAGGACAGATTAAAGTTATAGTGGCAAAACCCTCTCCGGTAGCAATTATTCCTCTTATCGCTATCCAGGGCAATGACCTGCTGTACAAGCTGCAGATAGGGAAAACTCAGGCAGAGCAACGCTAAATGCAATATTGACACAAGAGGCCGTTTTTTCTGGAAAACAGCCTTCAGGGTTTGCTGACATCCTGGTTCACGGAACTCTGTACTTCTAAGCAGGTGTGGCCTTGAGCAGTTCAAACAATTGGCCATGGAGTTGGATCCTTCCCACTAAATATTACTTCAGATCAAATCAAGGTTTTTGGCTGCTTAGATGTCCGTTTAAAGAAACAGGGGGAAAACCACCCCACTTATTCCTGACCAAATGACCCGAAGAACCTGGCATAGGCTGTTCTTGTGCCTCTAGCATCACTTGATCTGCCGAAATCAGCAGGTGACACTATCCTGCAAGGAGATAAATATTAGCACCTGTGAATATTTGAACATGGAGGGTAATTGAGTGCAGAGCTGGCAAGTTAATTATATAGAAGCTCCTGAAAAATAATCTAATCATGGAATCTGAAGGTGGGGTGCAAAGGCCCCCTCCCACAACCCCTAAAAGGTGCCTCTTAAATGGAGCTTCTCTAACTCAGCTTCCCACATGGCTAAGAAATTAGGATTCAATGTTTTCCCAGCATTCCATATTTCACTGCACAGACATACTGCACTTATATTTACCACTTTAAGCATTTTACTCATTCCAGCAATGAGGCTACAAGGAATTAAGAAAGAACAGAACAAATTAAAGGTAAATTACATTCTCTTTCAGGGTGCCAACTTGACTAAAATATGGGGGGGCAGATAAGCCCTACCCCACATGGTGGGGTGCATACACACCATTTGAATGACAATGTCCATCAACTGGGGGGCAGGGGCGAAGAAAGAAGAAGAAGAAGAGTTTGGATTTGATATCCCACTTTATCAGTACCCTAAGGAGTCTCAAAGCGGCTAACATTCTCCATTCCCTTCCTACCCCACAACAAACACTCTGTGAGGTGAGTGGGGCTGAGAGACTTCAGAGAAGTGTGACTAGCCCAAGATCACCCAGCAGCTGCATGTGGAGGAGCGGAGACATGAACCCGGTTCCCCAGATTATAGATTTCTTAAGTTTCCACAAATCCTAACATCACTGGATGCAAGAATTTTGACCTATGGCAAGAAGAGATAATTCAGCACGTATTATCTTCATGAAGCTGCTATGAGCATATAAGGTAGCAGACGTGTTTCATCACATCTACAGAACACTGAGGGTTCCACAAAACAATTGGAAAACCCCATAGTTCAGTGGAACCTTTAAAAACTAATAAATGTTTGTTGCATCAGGATTTGTAAGCCAAAGCCCTTTGCATCAGATGCATGGAATATTATAGTTACCTAGCTTTTCCATCTTTGTGTGTATCTTAATATACAGAAGGGGAATGTTATTACAAAGGAAAAGCAGAAGATCCAGCAATTCAACAGATAGGTGTCCCAACACTACACTGAGCAGAAATACAAACAAGAGTAAAAGATTTATTCAGAGCGGTGAGTGTAACCCACTTCCATTTGGCGTTGCTTTAACCCTAGCCCTTTTCCCTGGAATTTATATATTTTGTTTTCTCCCTTTCTACTGAGAATTCAGAAAACATTGCCAAATCATTGCCTTTCTGTGTTTTGCTTTGTTTTAGCTGATTTGTGTGACCTTTCTTCCAAAAGTAAAAGAAACGTGATTGCAGCACCAGCCTTCCCACTGTGGAGTGGCAATGTGCTTTTGAGGCTTTTAAGGGCTACAATACTTTTACTTTTTAAAAAACCTACCAGTTCTGCCTCTTTTAGTCTTTCTGATCACTTCAGCTGGGATGAGTGATTAACGGTACCACACCTCTATGTTACTTCCACGTGTTAATCAGAAAGGGGAGGACCTATTTCCTTAAAAAAAAAAATAATGGAAAAGCACCCTTTGCTACAAAGAAAATAAATAATGGAGGGGGCTAATAATTAAAGCACCATTTTCTTGTGGGAAGCAGGAGTTGATTGATAACAGGACATTTCATTTGTATTTTCCCAACCATACCAAACAGAGAACTATGAAAAGAGATGAAGATGCAAGAGGAAACATTTAATTAACATAGTAGTGGGGTTTTCTGAGAAGGCTTCCTTGTGAGTAAATGCAGAAGGATCTTGGCTGGTGCTAGATTAATATTTGTTGTTTAGTCGTTTAGTTGTGTCCGACTCTTCGTGACCCCATGGACCAGAGCACGCCAGGCACTCCTATCTTCCACTGCCTCCCACAGTTTGGTCAGACTCATGTTTGTAGCTTCGAGAACAGTGTCCAACCATCTCGTCCTCTGTCGTCCCCTTCTTCTTGTGCCCTCAATCTTTCCCAACATCAGGGTCTGTTCCAGGAGTCTTCTCTTCTCATGAGGTGGCCAAAGTATTGGAGCCTCAGCTTCACAATCTGTCCTTCCAGTGAGCACTCAGGGCTGATTTCCTTAAGAATGGATACAGTTTGATCTTCTTGCAGTCCATGGGACTCTCAAGAGTCTCCTCCAGCACCACAGTTCAAAAGCATCAATTCTTCGGCGATCAGCCTTCTTTATGGTCCAGCTCTCACTTCCATACATCACTACTGGGAAAACCATGGCATTTACTATATGGACCTTTGTTGGCAAGGTGATGTCTCTGCTTTTTAAGATGTTCTCTAGGTTTGCCATCGCCTTTCTCCCAAGGAGCAGGCGTCTTTTAATTTCGTGACTGCTGTCACCATCTGCAGTGATCATGGAGCCCAAGAAAGTAAAATCTCTCACTGCCTCCATTTCTTCCCCTTCTATTTGCCAGGAGGTGATGGGCCCAGTGGACATGATCTTCGGTTTTTTGATGTTGAGCTTCAGACCATATTTTGCGCTCTCCTCTTTCACCCTCATTAAAAGGTTCTTTAATTCCTCCTCACTTTCTGCCATCAAGGTTGTGTCATCTGCATATCTGAGGTTGTTGATATTTCTTCCGGCAATCCTAATTCCGGCTTGGGATTCATCCAGCCCAGCCTTTCGCATGATGAATTCTGCATATAAGTTAAATAAGCAGGGAGACAATATACAGCCTTGCCGTACTCCTTTCCCAGTTTTGAACCAATCAGTTGTTCCATATCCAGTTCTAACTGTAGCTTCTTGTCCCACATAGAGATTTCTCAGGAGACAGATGCGCTGGATTATGGAGAAAGCTAGAGAGTTCCAGAAAGACATCTACTTCTGCTTCATTGACTATGCAAAAGCCTTTGACTGTGTCGACCACAGCAAACTATGGCAAGTTCTTAACGATTAATATAGCACTATATTAAGTGTTGAGAGTAATACCTGTTTTACTTCCCTTTGCAGATAACTGTGGGAAAATGCCCCTTAATTGCCAAAAGCCTTTAAGTAAGGAAGCAACCCAATTATCAATTGGCAAAGCAATATGATTAATGCCACGACATACCTTAAGAAGGGACAATAGCTTTCTGTGGGGAGCTTGCCACTATTAGCTGAAAGGCATTACTTATGGTTTGCAGGGGGGACGGGGGACGGGACAAGAGCTTTTAAAATAATAATTATGTCATATAAGGCGTCTTGGTTCTCACTGACTCACTCATTTGGTCTGATTATTAGGAAGAGGAATGACATTTTTGTACAGCTCATAATCAGAAAATAGAAGATTCCTGCTTAGTGTGTTGTGTGTGGTTTTTTTAAAAAAAGATACCTTAAATGTTTAAGATAACCTTTGTGGAAAAAACCGAGGCTTTTTTATTAGGAATTATAGGTGCAGAAATACCAAAGGAGCAGAAAAGACTATTTATGTACGCAATAACGGCTACGCAGATGCTTTTTGCCCAGAGATGGAAGAAAGATAAAGTCCCAACCAGAGAAGAATGGATAATAAAGGACTACATCAAAATGGCAAAAATGACCGGGAAGATCAGAAACCAAGAAGATAGAAACTTGAATAAGGAATGGGGGAAATTTATAGAATATTTAGGAGAACACTGTAAACAATTAAAAACTTTGCAGGATTTTAATAACACTTATAATGTAACAAAAACTAGGGTAAAAAAAGGAAGTTAAAGAAAAGATAGATTACATTATGTGATGCAGCTGAAAATGATAAACAATGGAAACCATGAAGTAGCATAGGGAAGTCCAAGGATTCAGGGAATCCTTTATAATATGTATGATTTTGATTTATATTTGAATGCAAATGTAATTTGTAAAACTGAATAAAGATATATATTAAAAATGCAATAAATGAATAGTAGAAGTAATTTTAAAAAGGAACCGTAATCGCTTACCCATTATCTCTGCTGCCTTATACAAGTCAGACATTGATCCATCTAGCTCAGTGCACTGTCTACATGGGACTGGCAGTGGCTTTCCAGGGATTCAGGCAGGAAATCTTTCCCAGCCCTGCCTGGAGACAACAGGGATTGAACTCAGGACCTTTGATATGCAAAGCAGATGCCCTGCCTCTGAGCTACAGCCCTTCCACAGTGAGCTATGGCCACCCTAAAAACAATAACACCTGCATCCAAACCCTTAGGAACATAGGAAGCTGCCCTATGCTGAGTCTGACCATTGGTCCATCTAGCCTCAGTATTGCCTACACTGGCTGGCAGCAGCTCTCCAGGGTTTCAGGCTGGGTTCTCAACTGGATTGAGCCTGGGATCTGATGCATGCAAAGGAGATGCTCTACTATTTGGCTATGGCTGTTCCAATAACATAGGAGGCTGCCTTATACCAAGTCAGGCGTGTGCTCCATCCAGTTCAGTGTTGTCCGCACTAGCAGACAGCAGCTCTCTAGGGTTTGATGCAGGTAATAATTCCTAGCCCTACCTGGAAATACTGGGAATCGAAACTGGGACCTTCTGTGTGCAAAGCAGATGTATCTTACTTCTGAATGTGTCTCCTTTACAAGTCTTCTTTAATGAGATTTTAACTGATGATGATGATGATGATGATGCCTTGCTGGATTAGGCCGATGGCCCATCCTGTCCAGCATCTTGTCAGCGCTTGTCAAATTCAGCCTAAGGAATAAGACGCAGCAGAAGCAGCCCTAGCCTGGCCTCACTGAACCCCCTTGAAGCTTACGAAGAGTTCACTCTTATGTGGACTCAGTGCAGCCAGGAGCCTGGGCTGTTCACAGCTGTGATCAGCAGCATCCTTGTCCATTTAGGTCCCCAAAATTCTGTAAATTAGGTTCCAGCCCAGAATAGCCTGGCCTGGCCTGAACCCCACCAGAGTCCAAGTGCCCTGTGTAACCTCCAGAGAGGACAATCGAGCATAGGAGCGTGCAGTTAGTAGCCCTTTCAGCCCAGTTCTCTCTCTGTTTATTTTTAACTGCTGAAAAATGGCTGGAAGAAAATAAACACCCAGAGTGTTCATTGGAAGAGATGCGGTAATTCACTGACAACCATCTCAAGCTCACACTCTCTACCCTACCAGCTTAGTGGCTGTTCTATACACAGAAAAGAGAGGAGAGGAGTTCTGTTCTATTCCAGGTATACAAGCGGGAGTTTGCAACAAGCAGCTGCTTTGTGGAGTGCTCCTGAACAGATTTTTTTAGCCAGACATGCCTTTTTCTAGAATACTCCATTCCGTCCCTAATAGCCGTGATGACCGTGCACTGTTATCCACTGCCAGAGGCAGTAATGCATGCCAGATTTAGGGCAGTGCCGGCACTTCCCCTGCACAGGGTGCTGAGCTGAGGGGACACAAAATAATAAAACCTATAAGGGTACCTACTGAGAAGAAAGCCATTGTACCAAAAGGAATTATTGTGAAAATGAGAAACATGGGTGGGGGGCAGGCACCAAATTTTGTCCTCATTCAGGGTGCCATATTACCAAAGTCCACCACCCGTGCAATAATTTTTCTGAATACCAGTTGCTGGAAGCCACAGGAGGGGAGAAGGCTCTTGTGGTCAGATCCTGCTTGTGGGTTTCCTACAAGCATCAATGCTGGAATAATAATAATACCTTTATTGTCAATGTACAACCTGTGTACAATGAAATTGACCAAGCCTAACCGAGCCTCCCACCCTCCCCACCCAAGCACTCAGTCTCATTGCACTCTGTGTGCTTATCTCACAACACATCACCTCACAAGTCAGTTGCGCTATGTTATTTTCCATTCAACAGCCTAACAGCCCACGGATAGAAGCTATTTTTTAGCCTGTTGGTACGGCCGATTATACTTCTGTATCTCCTGCCCAAGGGTAGAAGATTAAAGAGGTGCTGGCCGGGGTGTGAGTCATCCCTGAGAATTTTTCTTGCTCTCCTAAGGCAATGATCCCTTGCGATGTCATCTAGCGGACTCAAGGGACAGCCCATGAGATCATGGGCTGTATTCACCACCCTCTGTAGAGACTTTATGTCCATGGCCAAGCATATGGAATGCTGGAGAGCCACTGCCAGTCGGTTTAGAGTCCAGGCATGGCCAAACTTGGCCCTCCAGCTGTTTGGGGACTACATTTCCCATCATCCCTGACCACTGGTCCTGTTAGCTAGGGATGATGGGAGTTGTAGTCCCAAAACATCTGGAGGGCTGAGTTTGGCCATGCCTGCTTTAGACAATAGTGAGCAGCAGCTCTCCAGGATTTCAGGTAGGAATCTCTCCCACCTCTACCTGCCGATGTGGGGGATCGAATCTGCAACCTTCTGCTTGCAGGGCAGATGCTCCCACACTGAGCTCTGGCCCTTCCCCGTGAACCAGAAGTCAAAAGCCTGCGATGGACTCCCTACATGACTAAGTATATCACCAGGAAGGGTGCTTCTAGCTGGGCCACATGCCACTTCTCTGTGGTGACATGAAGCAGGACCTTTCATGTAGCAGCACAATGCTGTCCCAGCAGATACCACACAAGCCTTCGGGATTTTGGTGCCTGTTGAATGTATTTTTTTTTTTAATCCCAGCAGGCCTTGCCATCGTTTTTATTCCACCTGACTTGGTCACTGTTCATTTTGGAACAGTAGAAAGTTAGTGAAAGAGTTTTTTTATCTGATGGTGATATTGCATTGTATTGAGATTCTTTTTAATACAAAGCTATTAAGACGTTTTCTAAGCCAATGATTGAATATAGAGCTGCCTCATCATGCAGAAACTCAATCCAGGGTAACTAAGCTGTGGCCCTCCAGAGGCGGCTGGACTCCCAACTCCTTCAGCCCCGGCCAGCATAGCCAATGGTAGGGAATTATGGGAGCTGTAGTCCAGTAATACTGGGAGCGCCACAATTTAGCAACCCTAATCTAAATCTTTCAATGTCCACACACACGAAACAAAACACCGAGCTAATGTCCTCTCCGCCTCTCTCTTTTCTCATCTCTCTCCTTTTCTCTCTCTCCCTCTCTCTGCTAAGAGGAGACTACATCCCAACATCAGATGACATCCTGTGGCAGATTTGGGCAGTGCACTTGTTAGAAGTGGAACAGCTTTTCTGAAACCCACTGAGGGAGGTTTCCGCAACAAAACAGCAAGGTCCCTTCCTGTATCACACACCCCTATTGACATTTCAGGAACAAAGTTTAGGAAGCTGCCAGAAAATGACTTTGGACCAAGGACAGGCATCGTTTTTGGTGCTTACTGAAGACTTTTCTCTCCCAACGAGACTTTTAAGTGGGCATCTTTCTCAGTCTGCATCTATACTAGAATTGTTTTTAGATTTTAAAAAATTGTTTAGTTTTGTGTGTTTGCTGCCCTGGGCTCCTTCAAGAGGAAAGGTGGGATATTATTTTTAAGGATGATTAAGCTGTCCAAAGGGTCAGATGTCAGTATGAGATACACCCACGTCACCAGAGTTTTCCTATGGTTTTTATGCACTTATTATATTTTTGTTAAGCTTATCTGATGTTATAAATATGTGCACATTTGGTCTGTTTGCTTGCCCACCCTTCAATATTGCCCTGGCCCCTGCCTTATGCACACATTGGGGGTAAATCTTTATTTAAAGAAACATTCCTAATTTGACCCTTAAAGATATTTCAGACTTTATTGCCCTATCAAAGGACTGAGGTCACTGAAGATTTATTCCCATGTTATGATAAATGGTTTATTTATATATATATATAGCATACCTGGAGGTTTCACAGTTTGAACCCATTCCAACAAATACTGCTACCCCATTATGTTTCAGAGGCAGCACGCAGCGCCTCCTTCAGACCTCCCAGAAAATCCTACAGTTCTGACCTTGTTCTCAAACCATCTCAAGTGTTAACTACCAACCGCCTCCTTTGTTCATATCTTCTATAGACCAAATTAGCACATTCCTTAGGATGGAGAGCAAAGGGGCATCCCATTCGGACATTTCCTGGCCATGGATGCAGTCCATCAATAATCTTCATAACAGAAGAGAATTTATCAGGCTAACCATGTGACCAGTTTGGCCATTTTAGCAGGCTTGTCTTAAACACACAAGAATCACTGGATGAGAAGGGAGCCTGGGAGTCATTTAAATCTACCCCCAAACCCATAACAATATTGTGTTGGCCTTGTTTTTTAAAGCTAAGATTCCCAACAATCTTCATCAGATTTCAGAGCTTCCATCATCTATCAGGAACTGCAGATTTATATTCTTCTCCTCCTCCTTCAATTCCTAGTCCTCTTGAGTTTCAACATTTTTAAAGCATTTCCTACATTTATAGGATCATTATTTTTTATTGTTATTTCTGCATTGGAAACCCTCACCATGACAAAGTAGTGATGTATGTGCACTTGGATGAATTTCTTTAATTCTCACTGATGAATGCCACGGGACTTCTGTGCAGCCTAAACAGATGTTTGGTGTGCTGTTGTTTTCAGAGTTCCACAATCAGCCTCCTTTCTCTCCTTGCTTGTTCCATTCACTCGTTTCACAGTTTGCTGGCTCCAGTATCTGAGTAACCAGCAATTACAGGAAGCGATGCCTCTGTGAAAACTAAATGGAAGTTTAGAGTTTTGTTTTGATTTTTCAAAGAACAAATTGTGCCATTTATTTTATACCATACTGAGCTTCTGTAGGGTCCACAAAATCATCTGGAACATTATTGGCATATGACAGGAAGTGTTGTTTTGAAAAGCTCAGTCACCAGCCTCTGCAATATGAAGGGGGAGGAATGCGGGGCTAGGAATAAATAACAAGGACTTGGGGCTTCAAATACACAGAGCTGTACCCAACTCTCTAGCAGCACAGCCAGACTTCTGTTTCCTCTCCTCAGTCACACCCCAAATTTGTTCCAGAGAGTCCCCCAACTCTCTAAAGCTGAATTTGACAGCACACAGGAGAGGGGCTGGAAGGGACAGGAAAGTCATCGCCAACATGTGCATGGGTATCTGCTGCACCACTGAATATGGCTCACAATTACTGCCTTGAACTTGAGCCCTTTCTTTGTGCCATTTATTGCAGGACTTTAAAGGTACAGGATCCCTGGATGGTTGTTGTTTAGTCGTTTAGTCGTGTCTGACTCTTCGTGACCCCATGGACCAGAGCACGCCAGGCACTCCTGTCTTCCACTGCCTCCTGCAGTTTGGTCAAACTCATGCTGGTAGCTTGGACAACACTGTCCAACCATCTTCTCCTCTCTTCTCATGAGGTGGCCAAAGTATTGGAGCCTCAGCTTCGCAATCTGTCCTTCCAGTGAGCACCTGAGATCATGAAGCTGAGGCTCCAATACTTTGGCCACCTCATGAGAAGAGAAGACTCCCTGGAAAAGACCCTGATGTTGGGGAAGACTGAGGGCACAAGGAGAAGAGGACGACAGAGGATGAGATGGTTGGACAGTGTTCTTGAAACTACCAGCATGAGTTTGACCAAACTGCGGGAGGCAGTGGAAGACAGAAGTGCCTGGCGTGCTCTGGTCCATGGAGTCACGAAGAGTCGGGCACAACTAAACGACAACAACAACAACTATGCTATATGGTAATTTATGGACCTAATAGGTATCTAAAACCATTTGCACGTGGAGAATGTAGGCACCCTATATATAGAAATGAGCAAACCAGTGATATTTTAGGGAGCAGGCCAGCAGGCGGGGCCCATTACTTACATCAAAGTAGCCTACACAACACAGAACACTGTTGCTGTATGTAGGTTTTATTTCTTTTTTATCTTATATTTTGGAAATGTACACCCATTTTTTCCCCTTTAAATTTTTTTGGGGGCCCCAAGAGAGTGGGGCTCTAAGCTATAGACTGTTTAGCTTATAAGTAAATCCGGCAACCACTGCATCTTCTGGGGCCCCCGATTTCACATGTTACTTACCTATTGCGTAAAAAGGTAGCTTTGTTTTGTCTAGCCTGCGTCTACCGCCCCTCTCAATTCACTGAATGACACACACAGAGGCCGAGTTCTAGTATTACCAGCTTATTATTATAACAAAAAAGGGGCTGTTACAATTCGAAGCAAGGAAAGCCTGCCTCTCCACTGCTGCGCCCCTCTGCGCAGTGCCCTACCCAGGTTGGCCAACCATCCCTCCGGAACGACGCGGCGCTTCTTCCTTTTATGACGTCAGCATCTCCCGGCAACGGGAGAGAATGGTTGCCTTGGCGACGTAAACAATATAGGAGAACAATGGCAAAGGCAGAACGTCGAGACACCAAATCGTGTCTCTGGTGCAGAAGTGCAGCTGCGCTTGAACGCAGGTGGCCGAAGGGGCTTTCCAGACGCCGAGGATTCTTGCTTGCAGTTAAATGAAGCGTTTAAATGGGGCACATCTGAACTTTGTTTTCCTTCCTTGTATTTTTCAGTTACGGTGTTTTGTTTTTCTCGTCACAACTGAGAATTCAGGGTGAGCTATGTGCTTTGTTAAACCTTATATGCATTGGTGAGAGATAGGTCTCTGAGTTGTCTGAAAGCAGGGAAGTCGACAGGCTAAATGGATGTTTTTTAGGGGAGAATTACTGTGACTTTCGTGGAAGCATACCATATCCTCAAAAGAAACTAAACTCTTGTGAACTTTACTCAGCGGTAGCATTACACAGGCACACACATCCGCAAATATTTAAAGTTGAAGATCCAGCTGCCTGTGGAATAAGTTTCCCTTCCAAAATATTTACATCTATGGTCATTCATCTGCCTCTTAAATTCCCGTCAGGGGGTTTAAAAATATTTCCAGTGTTTTCTCAGCCCAGTTGCTGTTTTTGCTCTTGACAGCTGATTTATATATTTGTACTTTTAAGGACAATCTGCTCATTCAAAGCACCAATATTTTAATGTTTATGTTGTGTGTGTGTAACCTTTCTGAGGGAGGGAGAAATTATAGACCTCGGGGGTTCAGGTTGCTCTTGACATTTGTCAGTTTGGCATCTAGAAGTCAATGCAGTCTATTTTGTTTCTTAAGATTTTTACATTGTAACCTGGGATCAGCTTTTGGAAAAGAGCAGGCTATACTGAATAAACATCTTTAATTTCTCTGCTCTGCAACTGGTTAAATATAATTAGTTTGCTTTTTTAAAAGGAAGTTAGTAGGCTGTGACTGTATACGGACTTAACTTGCCAGAAAAGCTGCACCCTATGCACATTTACTTAGCAGTATGCCCTAAGTGACATTTGTGGAGAAGGGCTGTAGCTCAATGGTAGATTAAATCCTTTACCTGTAGAAAATCCCCAATTCTATCTTCTGCTTTTCCAGGTAGGGCTGCGAATATCCCTCGCCTGAAAACCTAGAGAGCTGCTGCCAGTCACTGTCAACCATACTGAACTAGCTGGATCAATTTTCTCACTCAGCATAAGGCAGCTACTATGATCACATGCCCCATTGAAAGAGTGGGTTTATTTCTGTGTAAACAAAGATCATGCAGTGTGACCCATTGAGCACAGTGGGACTTCCTTCCCTGTAAACCTGTTTTGGATTGTGTGCTGTATGAAATCTCACAATGCTACTGTTCCTTAAGTAGTTATTATCTTAAAGAATTACCTCAAAGTATTATAATATGCAAAGCTAGTCTTGAAAATTAAGACTATCCCACAAATTATAGGATTGGTTCTGTCAGATGTAGTGATTTACTTGTGGTTCAGGTCCTGCAAAGACTTTATGTACATTTCGTCAGGAACTTTGTTCCATTTCTCTGACTTAACTTGAATCATTTCAAATAGCTTGGAAAGATAAGACCTGTTGCTGTAGGAGTATGTAAGTTTCACCCCCATAATACTTTAGTTCACTTTTGGTACACAGATATCAGTACAATATAAAACAGTGCATAATGCATCCATGGGCATAGCCGGAGGCGGCAGCTGCCCCCTTGGATCAAGTAAAACAATAGAAATACTTATCTAACTGACCAATTATGTTGGTTCTGCACTCCAACAAAGTTCTGTCCCCATCACAAACAAACAGAAGTTAAGGGCATTGGTCATACTGTAGTATTGAAAGAAGTACGGAGGCTTTTTGCATGTGATTTTTCATTACGAAGGACCGTTCCTAAATGTTTCATTGGAAGTGCTTGTATAAACTAAATATTTGCATATTGTAGTAATAATTAATCGCCAGGAAGAATAATTGCCTCAGCTGAAACAAATTGCAATTTTACATATTTGGGAGGGAAAATTGTACTTTCTCTGCTTCTTTGAGATGGGAAAACTTCTTAATGGGAAACTTTTCCCTCAATCGCAAAATTCTGGGGTCCTCCTGTTTATTCAGTTGAGTGGGGCCCTGGACTTTGGCTCTGATGGCACAAATGACTGTGTGGTGGTCCCTTCAACAAGGCTGGGGAATCACTGCCTAATGAACATGACCATCCATGGCCCCACCTAACCTTTGAAACCAAATCTCTGATGCAGTGCACCAGGCCCTTTTAAGCTTGCCATTAAGATGTCTAAAACAATTATTCAGGCTTTTTGTGATTAATGTTTTTGGGTGCTTCCAGACAGTCACTATTTTCGGGTGGGATTCAGTCACATACAGTGGTACCTCAGGATACATACGCTTCAGGTTACAGACTCCGCTAACCCAGAAATAGTACCTCGGGTTAAGAATTTTGCTTCAGGATGAGAACAGAAATCATGCTCAGCAGCAGCAGCAGGAGGCCCCATTAGCTAAAGTGGTGCTTCAGGTTAAGAACAGTTTCAGGTTAAGAACGGACCTCCGGAACAAATTAAGTACTTAACCCGAGGTACCACTGTATCTGCAAATTCAGGCTGCACAATTGTAGTTGTTTGGGAGGTCTTGAGCAACAAACCCACTTCCCTAAAAGATCAGACATGTTGAAAAAGAGAAGCAATGAGGAAATGCACAGAAATATGAGGGATAATACATGCTTCCACGCAATGCCATCTAACTTCCCCACATTCATTATCCGAATGAATGCTCCTTAAATAGCCAATGCCATTTAATCTCCCTGCAAACTAATTAGGGTGAATGCTCAATAAGCAGATTGTCTGGAAGTGCTCTTGTGTAAGTTATGTACCTTTAAAGCACATTAAAAAACATTTTCTCCCGCAAAAAACTGGGCACTAAAGTTTGTAAAGGGTTGTTGTTGTTCATTTCATTTCTGGACCGCTTTATATTTTTAAAAAGGCTGCTTGGAATTGCAATTCTCTGAGAGGTAAGCTGCAGTGGTCAGAGTTCTTTGATGTGGGAAAAATGTGCTTTGAATAAGCTTTAAATGCATAGTGTGCACACAGCCTCAGTAGTAGTTTTTACTTGTCCCTCTGAATATTTATATATCAATTTTATTTTATTTTCCTACAGAGACTGAGCAACATAGGTGCAGTTGGCTCTTCCCCACTCGCCTGGTGCATCAATTCTGTTTTTCTGCTTATGTTCTAGGAAGTGAACGCAGCATACGGTTTGGGGGAAGCCAACGTTCAGTGTAAACCTTACCCTGTATTTTATTAAGGCAGAACGTCGCCAACATGTCTGTAGTCTCTTTTGCTCGTTCAGATACATCTCTGAATGCAGAGAGCTCTGAAGCAACTTACAGTAAGTTTTCTCTTTCTTTCTCATCACTTTAGTTAACTGGCTTGGTCCGTTTGGTTTGAAAACTCATGTCGTAATCTGAGGAGCTTCTGAAGAATACAGAAATCTCCAGGACGTGGACATTTGTGGGATATATATTTTTATATGTCTGTACATTTTGCCTCATATCTAAGGTTCTATCAAGGCTTATTTAAAAAAAGAGACGGAATAGAAAGTAAGCTGGAAATCTGGGGCACTAAATAAAGCCCATGGGGACTTGGTTGGCCATTCCTGATCTGAACAGTCCTCATGGTGCAGGTCCTATCACTTGAGCATTAGTTCCAAAATGTGAAGCATTACCCTCGCTTCCTGAAACCTCAAGTCTTTTTTCCAACTCCTGAGATATCCATGACTAAGAGTGGGATTGATTCTTATTGTTCCAGGAGAAAGACTGACATCTCGGCAAGTTGGAGATGTGTTTACAATTCCCTCAGTTCAGTCAGGTGAATCAAAACTAGGTAAGACAGTCTTGCCGATTTTTACTATTTCTGTTTTATAATTGCATATATGTTCCAGTTTTCCTCTTAAATTGTTCAAGCTGACCCTTCTACCTTTTATCCCAGGGAACTCTGGGAACTGTAGCTCTGGGAGGTGGACATAAGGGTCTACTAAGAACTCTTAGCACCCTTAACAAACTACAGCTCCCAGAGTTCTTTGCAGGAAGCCATGGCCATTTAAAGTAACACCACAGTGCTTTAAATGCATGGTGTGAGTGTGACCTTTGATTACACAACCTGAATCCCACCTGCAAAATGGAGACAAGTCCAGAAGCAGCCTGGAGAGAAAGAGAGAGTGAAGGTGGAGATACCCTAATGCAGGGGTCTCCAACCTCAAGTAGGCTGCAATCTACTATTCAGCATTAAAAACTGGCAGTGATCTACCACACTCTCCCATTGTCATTGGGGGCAAGGAGTAAGGTGTTGGTGGCCAGAAAAAAAACCCTTTCTTTCCTTAGCACGGATTCACAGTCGATTCCATCACTGCCTTCTGTGTATTGCCCAAATGGAGGCGACAGCTGATTAAGCCACAGGTCGCTCAGTATGGAGGAGGAAGGAAAGGCCTCATCCTGAATGTAGAACATGGCACCCTGCACCCCAATTTCCTTTGCTCTCAAGGGGGAATGCTTCACCCTCTCCCCGCCACACGAGTGTGGTCCTGCAGCACCCAGCGAGGGCCGCCCAGCCAAAGGCGGCCTCCTTAGCAGAGTGAAGTGAGAGAGGCGTGTGCTCCAGAGCTCATGGGACCGCAAGCGAAGGCACAAGTCTGGCCTGGGAGGGCGGAGTGCAGACCGACTCCAGCTACAAAAGCAGAGGCTATTGAACATGGATATTATTGTTGTATCTTTGGTCTTAGATCTTATGATTTATGTGGAAATTGTTTCCATTTGGTTGTGTACTTTTTGATATGTTTTATTTATTGTTTAGGACTTATGTTTGTAATTATGTAAATCTTGTCATGTTGTAAACTGCCTTGAGCATGGTCCAGCTATGGAATGGTGGCATACAAATAAAATGATGATGAAGAAGAAGAAGTCTCTCCCTCCTGCAGCTGCCTTGCAAGTCCCATTCAGCCCGCCGGCTCATGGGACCACAGAAGTGGAGCCGCAGCTTGTTCCCTCCCACAGCCTAGCCCCAGCTGCGAGGGAGGAGCAAAGGCTGCCTGGCCATATTGTGATCGATGGAAACCAATTCAAAGATCGATCTGTTGATCCCGATCGACGCCTTGGACATGTCTGCCCTAATTCATCGCCATCAGCATGTCTGATGTGGTCCCAAATTGCACTGGACTTGAGGACAATCAGGATCAATCTCATTCTGGCCTGCAAAGAAAGCTTAGGCACCAACTTTGCAGCAAATATAAAGCAAAACAAGAACAATACTCAGTTGCCCTAAAAGGGATGATGGGAATTGTAGTTCCAAAACAGCTGGAGGGCCAAGTTTGGCCATGCCTGCAAAGAGCCATTAATAATTTTGCGTTTTTTGTGTTCTTTTTGTGTGTGTGTGTTTTTAAAAAGATTAATCTTCATCAGATGGGGAGAAACAAAACTTGTGAAGGGGGGAAAATACTTTGTTTTTATATGCTACATGCATATAAAATACAAATATTAGAATGCTGTATGTGAGAGAAAGGGGAGGGAAGTCTCTTCTCAGGTGATATTCGTATATTTTTTTAAGTTGCCATTTTAAAATAAAATCTGTGTTGGGGTGCCATCCATCTGTGGTAGCTATCCACACATGCAGATCACCAATTAGCATCGTGCAAACTTTTTCCCCCTGAAGGACAGCTGTTCCCCCCACCCCACTCCCCCCGCTTATAACTTCCTGTTTCTTGCAGCTTCTAGTCGTGCCACAGACTTTCAGTTAGACAAGAACCCGTTTAAAATCCCTTCAGATATCGATATCTTCTTGTTGCGAGACAGGCAGAAGGAAAAGGCAAGAGCGGTATGTACCAATCACACGAGGTTCCTGGAGGAAATCTTTCTTGACCACAAGCAGTGTAGCATTATTGTTATTGTTTATTACATTTCTGTCTTGCCCAGGGCAGCAAGGAGCAAAGCAATACATTTTTAAAAAATTAAAATACATTAATACAATTATAGATCATAGGGTCAGGAAACATGTTGCGGGAACAGTGTGTGCACATGCTGCGATTTTGCAGATATCCAGGGAAATCTCTAAAATGAGGCTCTGAGCTCCTTGGAAAGTGAGCTGGAAACAAATGTTATAAATAAAAAGTGCTCATAAAAATACAGAAAAGAGCAATCCAACTGATCAAATTCTTTTCTTTTTTTTAGGGCAGATAAAATAAAGTACCTCTCTGTGCAGTACGAAATTAGATTCTAGAATATGCTGCCCTAAAATGTAGCGATAGCCACTCATTTAAAGTTCTTTTAAAAATGGCATTAGCTGAATTCATCGAGGATAAATCTCTCATCAATTAGCCATGAGAGCCAAGTAGAACCTCCATGTTCAAAAGCAGTATACCTCAGAATACCCAATATGTTGGGGAGAAACTATGGGAGAGGGCTGTTTCCGAATCTGGAAGTCAACAGCGCTGAGGTAGCCTGAAGTGCTGGTCTTGGGACTAGAAGCTCAGCGCTGAGTTCTGAGATCATCTTTGGGCTTGCTGGGTGACTTTAGGAGATGGACTGTGGCTCTGTGTCTTGGATGCAAAAGATCTCAAGGTTCGACCCCCAGAATCTCCAGGTAGGACTAGAAAGACCCTGGCAATCTGCTGCCATTCAGTGCTGACAATATTCTGGCTCATTATAAGACAGCTTCCCACGTCGCTATGACTTTGCAAGTAGAACTATATCGGTGTCAAGGCACATGAGAATCCATATGAGCCATCACTTCTGGGACATCTTTCCCCCTTTACATTGTCACAATCAGCTCAGGCTTGAGTCCACAACCAATTTATGCTGTTCTGGACATTCCTTTTTCCCCCATAAATAGTTTTAAATTTAATTTTAAAAGTATAAAATTATAACAATATCAAATACATACTCAGATTTAGAGATTTCTATGAATCTCCGGACTTCCCACCATCCCCTCCGTGGGTTTTATTGTCATCATTTACAACTGCGTATTATTTCATCATCCATATTTTAGGTCTATCTATATTATCCAAAGTCTTTGGTACATTACCAGTGGTGTTAAAATCCTGCTCGTTTTCATTTGTTTACAGTGGTCTCTTAGATAAATTATAAATCTTTCCCGTTCTTTCTTGAAACTTTTGTCTTCTTGGTTCCTGAACTTTCCAGTCAGTATTGCCATTTTGTCAAACTCCAACAGCTTAATTTGCCATTGTTCTTCTTCTTTCCATCTCTGGGCTAACAGCATCCGTTAGGCGGTCATTGCATACATAATGTCTTTTCTGTTCCTTTGGAATCTCGGTATCTACAATTCCTAATAAAATTTGCTGTCTGGACATTCCTAACCAAAATAGGTGTTGGCTGTTAGAGGTTGGGCAGTCAGATCTGATTTTTGCAGAGGGTCCATTCATACCCTAGTCCCCCTAGTTGGTCACCATTGGCCACCACCACCCATTCAATACATATATATTCGAAGCAATCTTACTGAAAACTGGATGGAGCAATAAGCCTACCCCCTTTTTACCTTTAGGAGCGAGAGCGAAGGAAGACTTTGAAGGTTCACGAGAAGATGACCTGCTCCACTCTGCAAGGTGCCAAACAATCTGGCTTCAAGAAAGAAATCCAAATGGAAGAGGAAGCGGAAGACAAAGAGTTGGCTGCAGAAGCAGAGCGCCTCAAAGCTCTCCGAGAAAGCATCTCTTGGAAGATAGCAGTCACTAAAGGTAGGGATCTTTACAGAAAGCATCCAGATCAGGACACAACCAAGAGACTGATGGCAATTTGAGTGACAGAACACACACAGCTTCAGCCTCCAGGCTCAGTTGCTGCCACATCTCCAGTAACAAAAGACCTCAGTCAAAAACAACCCATGATGTGCAATTGCGTACGTGTTTTTCCAGTATGTTTCATTTTTCAAACTGAAAGCAGCCATAGGATGTTGCAGTCTTTAGTAAAGGAGTGCCCCAGGGTTTGGGTGTGCATACACACATGTGCTTGACCCTTTCCCTTCCAGCTTTTTTCCCATTCAGAATTGTGGGCACCTACTTCCACAGAGAGAAAAGCAACAGTGGGTTAGGGGGCAGACGCTCTATGGGGGAAATATCCGTGAAGCTCAGGGGTGAGGAGCCTTTGTTTTAATTCCGAGGGCCACATTCCTTTCTGGGCAACCTTTGGGGGGCCGCATGAGGGTGGGCAGGGCTAGATGTCAAAGCAGGCAGAATGCTGAATGTATGTTTAATCCAGGCATCCCCAACCTGTGGCCCTCCAGATGTTTTGGCCTACAGCTCCCGTGATCCCTAGCTAACAGGACCAGTGGTCAGGGGTGATAGGAATTGTAGTCCAAAACATCTGGAGGGCCCAAGGTTGGGGGTGCCGGGTTTAATGTTTACACAGCAAGCTGATTTAAATGGGTACTTACCCACAACCCTCTCTGTCCTCCATCCAGAAAAGAAAGAAGCAGGTTCAGAGTTCAAGGGCATATTCCCAACTAGGCAAAAATGCTCACGGAGGTTGTGAAGCTGCGCCAGTGAGGGGTGTAGCCTTGGGAAAGTCTCAAAGGCCAAATCTAGAGGCCAGGGCCCAAGTTCCTCCACCCCTGATGTAGCTGGTTGTAGACTTTTAGTTGCAAGGACATCTCAACTTCTTGGGGAATTGTTACTGATTCTTGAAACTCTCTGAACACAGCTTTTTTGCACATGGTCTGCCTTTGCTTCGCAGCTGCTTGTTCTGTCTCTACTTTGCACAATTGTCTCTCTCCCTCCTGCCTTTGTTTCTTTTTCTAGACCAGGTCGTTGAAAGAGAGACCATGCACGACTACATCAATCAGAAACGGCAGATGTTTTTGCTGCAGGTATATGGCTTCAGTTTGGGTGGAATTTGATTCTGAGCCAGTGGAGGGCAGCAGTCAAAGCAATGGGCTTGCCTCGGGACAGCTGGCTTCAGGTCCCTGCTCAGTCATGGCGCTCAGTGAGTGGACCTGGGCATGCCACTGTTTCCAACTTTAGAATGTTGTGAAGGTATAATGGAGGGAGACTACATGCATCTTTAGAGGAGGAACAGCTGGTTACAGTTGTGATCATACATGTTCTTACTAGCTTTCTTCCTGCAGGGAGACTTTCATGTGAGAATAGAGTTAGATATAGTGGCTACTTCTGGCATCTTATAGTAGTACAATCCTGAAAGGACTGTACCGTGTGCTTATTTAATTAGCTAGGGTTGCCATGCACCCGGAATTTCCCGGACATATCCAGAATACTGCAGTTGGAAGTAGTATCTGGATGGAAATTGCAAAACAAAAAAATGTCTGGGGAAATCCTGACATATGGCAACTACTGTTGGAGGAATAGGGGTGCGGGGGGATACGTCCGGTCTGGGTGCCATCGCGGGGGGGGGGGTGACATTTGATTTATTTTGCATGTATATGCCGCCTTTATCTTCCAAGAATTTCAAGGCCGTGTATATGGTTCTCCTCCTTCCCATTTCATCCTCACAACAACCCTGTGAGGTAAGTTAGGCTAAGAGATGGTGACTCACCCAAAGTCACCCAGTGAGCTTCATGCCTAAGTGGTGTTTTGAACCCTATCCTATGCCATTATCTGCTGTTCCCTATGACCTCTCCTTTGCAGGCCACAGACAGAACTGATCCAGCTCTAGGAAGCAATTATTTTACCTTGAAGAAAATGTATTTGATTGGGACTCAGTAGACTTGGGGTATAGACTATGGACTCCCTACATGACTTTGGGGAGATAATGCAATGTTTTTGCATTGTATTTCTTTTCATAAGCAACTTTAAAGGGTTGCTGAGCTGAGTCAAGAATTGTAACAAACACAATTCAGCAAGTCTCCAGTGTGGGCCAGTAATTTTTCTCTTCTTTTTGGCCTAAATTCCAGTATGCTGTAACGGTAAAGAAAGATGAGATCCAGAAGCTGGAAAACTTGGCCATTGAAGAAGAAGCAAAGCTGGAAAGAGCCGAGGAAGACCTTGAGAAGGATGCTGCCATGTTTGATGAGTTCCTGAAGGAGAATGATAGGAATTCTGCACAAGCCTTGAAAATGTAATGCTGGAATTTGGATTCCATACTGTCACATTAGATTTTGTGTGTGTGTGTGTTTTCCAATATACCCACAGTGTTTCCCTCCCCAGAATAATATGAGAGAATGGTGGGAATCAAATTGGGATTTAGAAATTGAGGACGACGCGTGGAATGGACTGTGGATCAAAGCCTGTGGATAAATCTATTCCGGCATTGACAAGTGAAAGAGCCCTCAAAATTGCACATGGCTGGTATTTAACACCTAGATATCTAGCTTGTATAAAACCCAGCTGCTCTCCTATGTGTCCCACTATTGGGGCATACAGAAATATGTGATGGGAGTGTTCAAAAATAGAAAAATTCTGGGAAAATGTCTTTGCAGAGATATCTTTGATTACATGGCAGACAGTTCCTATCTCTCCAGGACTGGCATTGCTTAATTTGTACAGTCAGGACTCACCAAGAATTAGAAATAAATATATTATAATCCATTTACTGACCGCGGGAAGAATGACCATAGCCAGAACATGGAAAACATTGCAATGTTGACCATGGATAAGTGGTATGAAGTGGTCTGGTAGACAGCTTTGTTGGAAAATCTAACATGGAAACTGCAGGTAGAAAGAGGCTAAAAGAAAAACTCCTACACAGTAGGGGACAATTTTATTGAACACACAGTGAGGCACATGGGGGGGTAGTGTTTGGGGTGGGTAACATAGTTTGGAATACTTGAAGTATACATTTTAACCTTTCAAATCGTTGCAGATATAATGTATTCCTTCCTTTCAGTGAGATTGGAGCACATGGTGTGTTGTTTTATGGTTTTTAAGATCATGAGAATGTTTGAAATATATGCTGTGACAAATCAACTATTTTAAAATGGAAACAAGAAACCAAAAACCAGGGACTAAACTCCACATCAAGACTGAAGATGCCTGGAAAGGTGCATGTGGGTGGGATTTTAAAAGGCCCCACATATCCTGCCAATGACTGCACACTCAAAGGCAGCACAAGTTTATTATGGACTCAGTCCTGCTCATGCCTGCACGTTTTTCCACAGTGTCCACATGACAGCATTCTCATCCAACTGCCACCCCATTCCCACCCTACTCCACAATTTACAATGCCCATTTATCAGACTTCCTGTGGAAAGTAAATCTGGATTAAATGGAGAATATGGGGTGGCATTCTGAAGATGCAACTGCAAACTTACATACATGAGGAGTGCTGAGTCCAGATAAGGCTGCCATGTGGAAGAGCCCTGTATGGACAAGGCTGAGCTGGGAGGTCACAGAGGCAAGGAAGCTGGAAGAAGCTTCTCCCTCTGTCTCTCTCTGAGCAGCTGCATCTGGCTTTTCAGGGAGGAAGACCTTTAGTCCCACTGCTTGCGTCATCCCCTGCTGCTGTTCTTCAGGTAACTGTTGTTTTGATGCCTTTTTCTTAGCGCCGAAAAGGAAACCAAAGCCAAGCTTGAAAAGATCATTGAGATCCGAGAACTGACTGCGCAAATGATGAACATCCAAAGGTCAGAATTGTTTGGAAAATATTTGGAATTATTGTCAGTTATAGTATTTTTTTGTAATACCCCAGAGGCTATTTCTCCAATCCTGCAAAGAGATCTGCACTGGTTGCTGATTTGCTACCAGGCCAAAGTGTTACTATCACTATATGTACTTGGGGACCCTCTTACCTGTGCGATCGCCTTGCCCTCTCAACCACTACAGTCTGTGGAACTGGTACCACATAATACCCATTCCACATTTGTGAGAAATCAACTTTTGACATGACACGAGGCAGACAATAATTTGATTAATCTGAAAAACTTGATTTAGGGAGAGGTTTGTTCCCCCACATTTATACGCGGGAGGTCCAACTCTGGCTGTTCCACAGCTTTCCCTGTTGGGAAACAGCAGCAGTGTGGTGTAACAGTCTTCTTTTGAGGCAGAAAGTTTAGTAGTTGCTGGAATGAGGCAGACCCCTCTGTGGCTTTGCCTCTGCCAAGAGACAAAATACATGGGTTGAAATGGTCCAACCCTGGAAGCTTTTCCTCTGGGCAGCGGTGGAGCGAGCCGATTGGGTGCCTGGGGCGGGACGCATGCCCTGTGCCCAGGGGCAGGGCCAGCCGTCCATGGGGTTGGGGCCAGCCGCCCACAGGGCAGGGCAAGCTGGGGCAGGACATTCCACGGGGCCTCTGAGGAGACTGCCTGCCTCCTCCCACTAGCTGCCCTACAGCTGAGGGGGAGGCAGAGGGAGGACTGTTTGGGGCAGCATGGAGCCCGTGGGCGCCCAAGCCACTGCGTCACTCCCAGGAGAGACGCGTGGCTCAGATGCGCTGCAGGCCCTGCGGTGAGTGCCGCCCACCATTTTGTCACCCCCCTCAGCGGTGACACCCAGGGCAGCCCACCCCCCCTTCTTCCGCCCCTGCCTCTGGGCAGAGAAGACTGCAAATGACTCTGTTCACGGTGACTGGAACCTGATGGAACTTCTCCTCCTCTAGCGAGATCGCCAGGTTTGAAGACACTATGCAGGAGTATGTAGTATTCAAGGACTTCCTCTTCCAGCTGTCCCCCAAAGAGTGGCGGGAGGAATATGAAAGAAAGCGAATGAAGGACAAAGAAAAAACGGTGAAAATTGTACCTGACAAAGATTTCGCACCTTCCAAAAGTAAGAGCTCCCAGCAAAGGACTGTCCATTGTTTGGGCACATGTGCACCTCCCATTTTATGGTTGTTTAAGACAGATTAGCATAAAGGAATTGGGGAATAAGGAAAATAATCAAGCCAAGGCTAGATACTTCTCTGCTTTACTTTGAAGGGGGTTCTTATTTTATGCTGGCAGTTTTAAATTGGTAACACTTCCTTTTCTAATTAAATACTAAATGCTGCATTTTAGCTGTCTGAAAGCCTTTTGTTAGAGCCCAATATTGTCAGGAGAAGCACCGCTGATTTCAATGGTGCTTTCCCCCAGCTTTTTCTGCAGAGAATTTCATAAATGATACATGGTTGATTAAGGACGTGGAAGCAGCTCTTCTGATCCCATGCTATCCACAAGACCACCCTTTGCTAGTCTGCTATCCTTATATGGTCAGATGATCCTAATAAATTTGGTATTATTTGGTACTCTTCTTGTGGGCGTGGCTGTGGGAGCTCTCTTGCTGAGCTCCTGTACTTCAACATTTACCACCACTGCACATAGCAGAACAAGGAGGATTTAACAGCAGACTGAAACCAGTAAAGGAGAGTCGATTTGCTGTCCAGGGGGAGGCAGTTTCACAGTCTGGGTGCCACAACTGGTGAGGCCCTGGCAGGGCTGGTGTGTACATTGAACAACAGGGACATGGGTGGTGCTGTGGTCTAAACCACTGAGCCTCTTGGGCTTGCCGATTGGAAGGTCGGCGGTTTGAATCCGCACGATAGGGTGAGCTCCCATTGCTCGGTCCCAGCTCCTGCCAATCTAGCAATTCAGAAGTAAGCCAGTGCAAGTAGATAAATAGGTACTGCTGTGGCAGGAAGGTAAACAGCATTTCGGTGCGCTCTGGTTTCCGTCACGGTGTTCAATTGCGCCAGAAGCGGTTTAGTCATGCTGGCCACATGACCCAGAAAGCTGTCTGTGGACAAATACCGGCTCCCTTGGCCTGAAGTGAGATGAGCGCTGCAACTCCATAGTCACCTTTGACTGGACTTAACCATCAAGGGGTCCTTTACTTTTACCTTTACCTACATAAAAGCTCTCTCATGACACACCATTAGGCTCACCTACCTGTCAGAAAGTCCTGTGAACTGTAGGGGTAAAATATGTATACACCTCTACTCAGAAGGAATCCCCATTGAGTTCAATTGCATAAAATGTATTTGTCTGTATAACTTAAGGCACATTTTCCCTTCTCCTGCTCAGGCCGGGATTGGCAGCAAAGGAGGAAAAGCCGATCACTGCCAAAGCATTCCAGTTTTGACCTGTCTGGAATAGATTTGAGCTCCTCCAGGACTCAAAGCCAAGTTTTTGCTAGAAAGGACTCTCTTAGGCTCAGCCAGGTGTCTTCAAGGCAGAACCTCAGATCCCAGCTTGGCAAAAGATCGTAAGTGCAAAAGGGGAAGGAATTATAAAGGCAACATCATTGGCCCACATACAATCATGCCTGTGATTTAAAAAAGAAATTAAAAAATAAAGCTCAGTCTGGAGGCCCTGCCCAGAGGTGCCAGGTTGGCAACTCTTGGTGAAGTGATGAGGCTGGTAAAAAGTGGCACACAGGACAAAAGAGAACTTCTGTAGTGACAAAATAGCTAAGGGATCTAACCAATTTACTCTACAATCCTACACTCACTTACCTGTAAGTCTAATTGAACTTAATGAGACTTACTTTTGAGTAAACTAGTATAGGCTTGCAGTTAATTGCGACACAGTAGAACCTCGACTTACGTTACCCTCAGGTAACGTAAACTTTGGGTTGTGAAAGCGGCAAACCCGGAAGTATTTTTCTGGGTTTCACCTCTCGCGCATGCGCAGAAGCGCTCTACCGCCGTGCATGCACAGAAGTGGGATGCGGCTGGACCTCTGGAACGGATCCTGCCCGCAACCGTAGGTACCACTGTATTTTGTTTTCATGGTGTGCTTTATTTTCCGCTGTTATTGCTTGCCACAAGCTCTTGAAAGGGGCAGGGCTAGAAACTGATTTCTATTGTATTTTTAAATCTCAAGTTATCCATTGTTATGGTCACTTTGTGCAAGCATCTAACTTAGAAATAACCTTTGCAGGAGCATTGCAGGAGACAGGGAAACTCCAGAGACTCCGTCTGATGATGATGACGACGACGAGGTTAGTAACCTTGAATCCAACATATTGAATGTATTCCTTTTGATTTACAAAATGGGGGTTTGCTGCTTGTGGTTCGTTTGGCTTACTCAAAAGTAAGTCTCATTAAGCTCAGTTAGACTTACTCACAGGTAAGTGAGCGTAGGATTGTAGTGTAAATTAATTAGAGCCCTGAACTATTTTGTCCTTGAGCTAAATAAAGCCTAGCAAGACTAAATAAGGCATAATACTACAGTTTGTATTACTTGGTAAAGAGTTTAGCACAGTAAAGCATAAGGTTACCAAGCAAGACCCCTGTGGTTGCTAGGAGTCCCTTGGACAACAATGGACATGGCCTCTGACAGCCCGGGGGCAGCATCGCAGGTCTGAGTTTCAGGGTCTGAGCTTCTGGGTTGAAGCTTTTCCAGCTCTATGACATCTGGGGCTCCTTTCTTATACAGTGGTACCTCAGGATACAGATGCTTCAGGTTACAGACGCTTCAGGTTACAGACTCCACTAACCCAGAAATAGTGCCTCGGGTTAAGAACTTTGCTTCAGGATGAGAACAGAAATCGCGCGGCGGTGGTGTGGCAGCAGTGAGGCCCCATTAGCTAAAGTGGTACCTCAGGTTAAGAACAGTTTCAGGTTAAGAACGGACCTCCGGAATGAATTAAGTTCTTAACCCGAGGTACCACTGTACTGTATAGTGTTACACTATGCTGGCAAGGCTAATTGGTGTCTTCATATCCACATGCATACCCTCCAACATTTTGTGGTAAAAATTCGGGGCATCTCCCCCCCCCCCCCACCCATCCCCATATCCGTCGTTCTCCCCTCCCTGCCACTGACCCCTTCCTTGCTCCCTCTCTTTCCCCCTCCTTCCCTCTCCTCTCATCCCTTTGCTGTCTTCGGCTTCCTGCTCATGAGACACAGCATGGCCTGGTGCAGACTCCAGGAAGCTCACCCTACCCACCCCATGCTGTACCGGGAGATGCAGCCCACACCACATTGAGAGACACAGCGCAGCCTGGAGTAGCCTCTGGGGAAATTGGAGCATCCCGGATTGGTATCAGAAGCCAGGGCAGCTTCTGTTAATTCAGGATGTCCCAATTAAATCGGGACACTTGAGGGATCTGCATGTGGGTTAGACACCACTGGCATTAACATTCCTTAACTATCCTGATGACCCTGGCACGAAAGCAGCAGTGTGAGAAATGGACTCGGCCTATTTTAAAAGGATATCCAGCCAGCTGGTCAGTTTCTCATTTTGATCCTCCCTTTTAGCCCGCCACTCGTTTCTGCTAATTAAATGCTGACTACAGTCCTACCTCAGGTTACAGCCACTTCAGGTTGCGATTTTTCAGGTTACGGACCGCCGAAACGTGGAAGTACCGGAACGGGTTACTTCCGGGTTTCGGCGGTCGTGCGTGCGCGCGCAGAAGCGCCGAATCGCAACCCGCACGTTTGCAGACACGGGTTGCGAACGTGCATCCTGCACGGATCACATTCGCAACCCGAGCGTCCACTGTACAAAGAAACTGTTAAGTTGTGGGCGAACATATCAGACGACACAGCGATTCTTCCAAAGCAGTTCTTTATTTGTAATCTGGTACAGAACTGAACTGAGGAGCTCAGTCAGCCTGCTTATATAGAGCTCCACTAGAATGCAACAGTAACCATTTTCTGTAACTAGCCAATCACTGAACGTCACTTTCGATCCTTCATTTGCATACAAACTATCCAATCACTGAACGTCACTTTCGATCCTGGCCCAGGGTGAGAACTTCAGTACATAACAGAAACCATACTAACTCCTGCAAGGGTAGGTTACAATAGGATAATAGCAATGCAAGACTAGGGCCCAGGCCTGCTCTTAGGCATCAGACCGAAGCATGAGAGGGGCAATTGCAGGCATCAGTGTAACTCCTCAATATATCAAAGGTGCATTGGGATGCACATTTTATTTGAAGCAAAGGAGAACATGCATTCTGTAGTTAACCATATAATATCAACCATAATATCGATACACTCTCCTGCCGTGCATATTGTCCTGTGTGCTTAACAGAAAGGACTCCTTGATGCTGACACTTTCCTTTGCAGGAGCCGGTGTTGTACTTCACAGATCCACACCAACTGCTGAATCTGTTCACTGAGTTGGAAGAACAGAACTTGTCCCTAATTCAGAATTCTCAGGAGACGGAGGAAACCCTTGATGAACTTCGGCATACCTTGGCTAATACGCGGAATAAAATGTAAGTGATGAAAGGACACTGCCCACAGTGAATTTGCACAATACATAGGTGCTTTTGCATCGTGAGTGGTTTCCAATTTATATCATCAAAATCTATTCTGAGAAGCACAGACTAGAAAAAGAGACATTTCATAGGACATATGACCAGTTTCCCCATTAAACTTTGGGAGGGGGTGTTTCTCTATGATAGAACCCACGCAACATTCATTCATCCAGTGCTGGATTTATGTATAAGCTAAACAGTCTATAGCTTAGGACCCCACTCTCTTGGGCCCCCCCCCAAAAAAAAATAAAGGAAAAAGAAACTGGATGTACATTTCCAAAATATAAGATAAAAAAAAATAAAAATAAAACTTACATACAGCAACAGTGTTTTGTGTTGTGTAGGCTCCTATGATGTAAGTAATGGGCCCCGCCTGCTAGCCTGCTCCCTAAAATATCACTGGTTTGCTCATTTCTATATATAGGGTGCCTACATTCTGCATGGACTGGTTGCATGGCAACATGTGCAAATGGCTTTAGATACCTATTAGTTCCATAAATTACCATATAGCATATATTCAGCAACAAAAACAGCGACAATTTGTTGTTGACAAAGGACAGCTGGACATATAAAGGGCCCCATTACTTTCAATAGCTTAGGGCCTCATCAAACCTAAATCTGGATCTGCATTCATCTCATGAGGACCTTGTATTAGGATTCCCATGCTTGCATAATAGAGACGTCATTTCCCCATGCCAAAAGAATCCAGATTATCTAATACCTGTTTGCTAGGAAGCTGGATGTAAGTGAAGTTTCATAGTTAACCTCCCTGCAGTTGTTGCACATGATTAGCACATGGTGTGAATATAAAACATATCAAAACTCCTTTATTTTTTATTTTTTTAAAAAATGTTTTCTTCTGGACCAGGGACCGTGAAATAGAACAACTGAAGCAGCTTACAGTCACTCTTCAAGCCAACATTGTCAAAGAGGAGGAGACTGCAGCAGACCTCGAACTCAAATCCCGAGTCTTTTCCTTTGGAGAATACAAAGCTGACGTTCAGGTATGTATCTGAATGAAATCGATGACTGAACAACCTTGGCCAGGAGAAGAACAGATAACAGGTGCCTGGAGATTGTTGCTGACGGGAGCTTGACCCCTTTTTCTCTGGTGGAGGGTGGGGAATAATACTGGAAGTGTTATTCCGAAGGAATGTGGTAGTTCCAGTCCCAGGTTCGTGGAGGTTAAGACTGACTCCTGCCCGCAGGACAAAATGTTGGTGAGCTTGCATCGAAAGGTGCTGGAAGTCTACCGGCGCTGCATTGGGGAAAACGAGGCAAACCTGGGAACCCTGCAGATGCTGACTGTGATTGAGCACCAGCTGGACGACTTACTGGAGTGCCTGGAGAGGATCCCTCCAGCCAAGATAGAACAAGCCGAGAAGGCCAAGGAGAAGGAGCGAAGGATGAGGTCTGACGGGGGCTGCCCACTTCTTTGGGGAAGGGGCAGAGGGCACATTTGGAGGTTGGGGGAGGAAAGTCCTGTGGGCACCAGTCACAAAATGGCTGCCAAGGCATAATACAAAACAGCTGGGGAAACCCAGCCAGATGGGCGGGGTTTAATAAATTATTGTTATTATTATTATTTAAAGAAGAGAGACAGCACCATCACTACCAAGGGGAAAAGGGCACCTCATCACCATGCTCGCTCAAGAGAGAGCTCTTTGTTCTTTGTTCTGAACAGGAGCATAGATGATGGTGGTATTATTATTATTATTATTATTATTATTAATTATTATTATTATTATTGACCCAGCCACTCTGAGCGGCTTCCAACAAATATAAAAACATAAGAAAACATGAAATATTAAAATACTATCCTGTACAGGGCTGCCTTCAGTTGTCTTCTAAAGGTTTTTTAGTTACTCATCTCCTTGACATCTGATGAAAGGGCATTCCATACGGCGGGCGCCACTCCCGGGAAGGCCCTCTGCCTGGCTCCCTGTAGCTTCACTTCTCGCAATAAAGATGGGCATGTTTAAGGAGGTGCATTCAATGTAGGAGAAACTGAGCCAATGCAAATAAGATCTGAGCAGGAAGAGCACACCTTCCGTCTTCTGCATTGTGGATTTGCGAGGGCATGTTTCCTGGGTACCGTTCACGGATGCTATTGCAGGTACTAGTGAGCACCCTGGCACCTGCAGGCACCATACTGCCTTATTGTCTCCAGTCCAAGTGAGAACATATAGAAAACTTGACCTGTGATGGAACCTGTGCTGTCTCTGCAAAGGAGGCAAGGCCTGCCAGATACTGTTAGTTGCTTGTCAGTCCTACTGTTTAAACATACTTAAAACTAAATCAGTTGATTAATTGCACCAATTTATTCAAAAATGCAACCTGAGAAATAAAATTAAGGCACAGGGAAAAAAATTCACCCCATTTCTGGTCCTGTTTTTGTGTGTACATGGAAGCACATGGCATGGAAACGCCCGAGTCCCAGTCCTTGTGCTAATTCAACTTAATAGAAATCTAATTAGATAAAGTTGGCTTACATGACGTGCACTTCTAGCCCTTAATCTGTTTCATTTATTTTGCCAGGATGAGAGAAGAAAAGATAAGGCAGCAGAGGCTATTACAGGAAGAGAGGCTGCAGCGTGCGCTGGCAAGAGCACAAGCTGATGTTAAGAGAAAGGTAAATCCAGCAATTCCAGACAAATGGCCCTTGTGCACTTCCTAGATTTCAGAATTGCAGCCGACGCACAAACCTTTTTGCTCAGTGTCCTTCTGTAAGCCCAGGTCCACTAAGCGGTGGCTATAAAAAGGACAGGGCTTTTACTGAAGCACTGCCTACATATGCCCATTGCTTGGAAGAACAAGGGATGTTTGCCCAAAGAAACTTCTTGAGGGGCAGCTTCACTTGCTACAAGTGCACTTAACCTTACTAAGAGGTCGAGCACTCAGCAATTCAACAAGTTTTCTTTAAGCTTGCTGAGAAAAGCGTGGGTTGTTGCACAGGGTAGTGGAACAGCCTGAGAAGGCCCTCGGACATCTCTGCTCTGGGCTATCCCACTTCCTTTCAAGCTTGTAAAATACAGAGATTTCAGTTGCCCATGCCTGGGATGGACTCAAGCAGCAATGGTGGTGAGAGTAGGTGGGGGACAGTAGGTGGAGCCCGAGCCAAATGAGATTCCTGCATTGCAAGGGGTTGGACTAGATGACCCTTGGGTCCCTGCCAACTCTACAATTATATGGCTGTGCTCTGCCTCCATATTCAGAGCTCCCGTAGTTGCGAAGATTACTAGATGAACAAGAGAAATCTGCTTGACTGGGTGTTATATATTTTACTTTGTAATGCAGAATGAGCTGTGCTGACCAGGCAAAGCTGTTTTTAGCAATTTGGGAACGAATAAGAAAAAAAGGGGTGAATTTCATAGAAATGTTCTGGGAACAGCTGATTGACTGATCTTAGTGTTTTTATAAGGTGACCAAATGTTTGTCCTCCTTCCAGTTGTTTTTTAAGCACCTGGTAGCAGACAGGTTATCTTCTCTTAGCACCTCAGCCATTTACTGAGTCCTATGCTGCAAAAATGTCTGTGGGAACCTGCTGTGAACTTATAGCTTCTCTCTGCTGCCTGCTCCTTTATCAGTTATTAATCCTTTAGAGACCTATCATCTTATGCCACTACTGCTGAGCTTACACAGGAGCTTTTGAGGGGCTTTGTTGAAAACTCCAGAAGTCCAAGTATACAATGCTCACTGGATCACCCTGTGATGTGCTAGTTGAAAACCCTGTGCAGTTTTAAGAACAGCAGGATCTTTGAGGTTGAAAAAAGCAGGAGCTTATCACATCCACTTAGAGCAGTCTCACCTTTCACTTTCCATCTGCTGTTGTAGTTTGTAAGGCGCTTTCATGAGAAGCTGCCTCTTGAGCCAGAGTAATAGGAATGCAAAGTTGGACACGCTGATTTGGCACCCCTTCCCTCCCCCAATAAACCATGGCTGTAAGGTGGTGTAGTGCCAAACCAGCTTGGGCATATGGCTGAATGGTGCCATTATGGCAGCAACAAACTCAAAGAACCCACCGTGGTGCTCCGAGTTCCTATCTGCCCTTTGCTTGTTGTTGAGTGTGCTTTCTGTTACAAAAGATGTAGTTGTAGCATGAGGACAATTTTGTCAACTCTATCTTGCAAGAGTTGCCACCTCAAAGATAACTTCTGATAGCACTATGTTAATGCCAGACCTCCTCCTCCCTTTTGCATGCCTCCTAAAACAGGTGCACTCAAGTATAGCAGCATCTTAATTTGCGGCAAAGTACTAACAGGATAATGAACCATCTATAGAGGGTTATTGGGTTGTTAGGAGGCAGTAGCACCACATACTCTGGGAGAGGGGAACGTAGAAGACGTTCTGCAGATGTTGCTGGACTCCAACTCACATCATCCCTGCCCGTTCATCATACTAGCTAGAGCTGGTAGGAGTTGGGAGTCCACCAACATTTTCAGGGCCACAGGTTAGCCACCCCAAGGATAAAGGTACAGCTGTGCATCCTTTCTAGAGCTGCTACATGCGCTAGCCCTTTTGTTCCTGCTCTTGCAGAGAACCATAGGAAGAAACCACACTGGTGATGGTTTCTTCTGCAAAAAAAGGCAAATACTGCAGTTGGCTCTGCTTTTGCAGATGTACTTTTTAAATGTTTTTTTTTTTTTTAAGTATACTTAGAGCTTATGGTTTTGGTAGTTTTAAATATCGCCATTTGCACACCACACATGAAAATTACTAAGAGTTCTTCTGATGCCTGTCTTTATTGTGTCTTTTAGTCTGGCAGAAGATTGGTATTCCGGTCTGAGCCTCCTGCCTACAAAGAGAAGGAAGATGAGGATCAAGGACTCATAGACAAGGAAAAGGAAGAGCTACTCTACTACTTTACTTAACAGCCCTGAAAGTGTAAGAAATGGTGGAGAAATGTTTTGGTAGTTAGTACACTTTATCAATAATTTGTTCACTACTTTCATCCCATTTCCTCATTCTGGTTACATGTACAGCCCCCAGTAATCCAGGACAGACTACAAGTCATCTTATACACTGCTTTTAGTTGGACAATTCAGTTTTGCCTTTTTGTAAATAAAACTGCTTTTTTAAAATCCAGCAGGCCACCATGGTTAGCAAGAGCAAGCAGTCCAATGCTTTGATTTCAGTCTTGAGTCCTGGAGATACAAAAATGAAAGGATTTCTGCTATTCAGAGATTTCAAGGCTCCCAAATTAGAAAGGTGTTTACAACTTTGCTTCTCTTGCGGTTAAGCAGCATCCTGATTGGAAACAACAAAAAACAACTGAAATGGAGAAACTGGACATTAGGTTTTTTTTATTAGTCTCTTTGTCTCACCAGTTCTTTAGATGTCCACTGCCAGCAATGGACTTAGGCAGAATAAATCTGATATTGACCTTTAAGCCCTTACCCTTCAATGTTTACTACAAATTCCATTTTAGGAATTTACAAAGCCAAGTAAATGATTTTTAAAAAGTAGACATGTTTACAAGTCTCAGGAAAAAAACAACCCACATGTGACTTATTCATAACTCTGCAAAACAGAAGCACCACGTTTTGATGGGCCCAGTTCATACTCTTACCTAGGCTGTGATCCTTTCAGCAGTAAATGAATGGGTGTGCTGTCCCCACCCTCCCTGCATCAAAGGTAACTGCTTACCAGGCACTCTATGTAAAAAGCTGTAGAGGAATTCTTCTTGTTCAAGAAAGGGGTGAGGGAGTAGAAAGAACAGGAGATGAAAAGGCCTCATCACACAGCAGCCCAAGTTACCTCTGAGGATCACTGCCAAAATGAAGTGTATGAACCAACCCCACAGAATAAAGAATTTGAGGTGACTTTTATGGGGGGGGGTGCAAGCCTCCAACACTCTTTTAAGCAAAGTCATACATCTGCAGACCACTCAGAGTTTTAGTTTCTCTTAAACTGAACTTTAGTGATATAAAAAAAAGGTTGAATGAGTTAGCAGTTACTTCACTCGGTTCATCTAAGGCAGTGGTGGAAAACCATAGTCTCTTCTGGGCAAGCTGCCAAGCGCCACCTGCCAGCCATGAGTGGAATCAGAGGCAGAAGTGGGTGGGGGAATGAATATTCATTTCACCTTTGTACAGTAAGCCAGTTTCCACACACTATAAGTACTCATAGCAGATTCACTGAAATTAATAGACATGACGTGACTTAAGGTTATTAATGTCAGTGCTGCTTCTTGGAGTAAAACTTAGCTGAATACAGCCTGCTCCTCTCGATCATCCACCCAGGAAAGCAAGAGGCATTGTCAGAATTCAAGAATACATTCCAGTCATGCAAAGACTCAAGGAGGGGTGGTGAGGAATGTGGCCTAGAGCCAGTCCCAAGGGCCAGAGAAAGAGGCAGGCAGGCAGGGCAGTATTTTGGCCCCATGGTTCCCCATCCTGATCTAAAGGAAGCAAAAATTAACTATAGTTCTTATAGTTAAGAATTTTTTTAAAAATACCCATAAATTAAATCTGAAATGATGTATAATCAGTATAAAAATGCCTTTACAATTTCAGGGAAAGTAAGTAAAAAGGCACAGGAATCAGTACATTTCTAATTACTTATGGGCAAGCCCCCTCCCAATCTTAATTTGGAATGAGCTTATTGAAGAAGCGATGCATGGTCCAATAATAGCAGAAAATCATTTCCAGGGCCATTCTAGTCAAGTTGTGCTCTCGATTACATGCTATGGAGTAAGAATAGGTCCAAGCAACACATCCCCAGGCATTAGGGATGTACCAGGAAAATCTTCTGAAAGGGTGACAGAAATCCCGGTATCCAGAATGCTACCATCAGAGGCCCTTGGACCAGCTCACCTCATTGCCATTGTTGCCAGGTAAGTCTGGGTGGCTGCAGAATTAGTCCATTCCAAAATGTGCATGAGCTTCAGAGGCATATGGGCCTGGAGAAGGGTCCAGTCTGGGGAACTCTGTTTCTTACCACCACCACTCATGCTTTTCAGCTAGCTACCCTCTTATTAGTGCATTCCATGACTTCAAATAAATATACACAAGGTCAGATCACATGTGTTCATCTGCAGGATATCATACTTTGTAAAAAATAGAACTGCATATGCACGCTCACACTGCAGGATTAAAAATTCATACATACACACGCTGCTTTTTAACAAAGTCCTATATATAGATACATATATATAATTTTACATCCTTGTGGCACATCATGGAAAAAGTATGTTTAAAATTCCAGCCTTGATGTTTGTTGTTGAACACCAATTTCTTATATCCTATGCTCAACTGAAATCTTGACATTTGCTTTTTAAAATTCTACAGAACTGTTTTCCTATCAACTAAAGTAAAAAAGGCAGGTTCCTATTTAAATTAAATATGCACTTTCCTTCTGGGTCAGTAACTCACCTGCATCTCAAATCCTATGACACTAGCTGGAAGCTCTTTGCTCAAGTATATAGTCTGTGTAAATGGCACATGGACCAAGAATGCAATCCTATGCACATTAACTTGGGAATAAATATATTTCCAAGAAAACATGCATGGGACTGGGCTATACATACTGAAAATGGCATCTTCACAGGAATTGGCAATACTGTTTTGTATTACTGTAAACATATTCAAGGGGTAAGAATTAGCATCTGCTAGGCAGCCTCCTAAAAGGTAGAAAGTGTATACTGCACCATATCAGGGATGGAAGGAGCAAGGAACAACAAGGTTCAACTTCTGCTACCCCCCAAGAACTGTATTATCATTCTGCAATTATTTCCTTAAAATTGTATTCAATGCTATCAGAGAATAAACACTTCAATGGCCTTAACGGCTCTTCCTCCACTCAAGTCCAATATTCAACTAGGGGCACTAATTATGTGTATGGGTTTTACACTGCCAAGTGTAACTGTTGATATTGCAGCACTGTCCTTGAAGACAACAGTATGGAGTACAATCACAGCATGTCCATTCTAAGACAGGGTTTCAAAACATCCACTGCATAATCTAAATAATGCTTCCATTATCACATTTTTCTGACCACAAGACAGAACATACCAAGATCTCCAAAGCCTTATCAAATAAAATTTACTGAACAGGTTTCCATTGCACGATAACCATCAAGCAAGCCACGAAGTAGCACTGATGTGTGCCCACTCCTATTTTTTTCCTTCAGAAGTAGGAACAAGCTTCTATTTCTCAAGATGCTGTACTTGAATGTTTCTGTCCGCAGCACAATCATTCAAGGTCTTGTAGGTTAATGGTGCTTCCTGTAAACTGAGAATTATCAGAACTGGCATCCTCTTCGGTAGAGTTGTGTGGCTCCTGTACAAAAGCAGAATAAAAAAATTCACAGTGACATAGGCATTCCAATTTCCAGGTTTCACAGATATATATGGCTGATTTAATAAGCTTCCAAATTCCATCTCTGGGAAGATCACACACACTGGATGATTTTAAAAAATCATACTCTTCTACAGTCAGCTTTTGGTCGTTTACCATTTATCCATCAAATTTTAAACAAGCAAAAAAAGCATACAGAAAAGGCATCTTTTAAAAACTTATAGTAGCTGTCCATTTGTATCACGCAGGGCAACTGGAATTGTGTTGCTGTCCAATTTTAAAACACAAAAGGGGTTGTACCTGAAGGATATGAACAGGCAAGTCTACTGTCAGCTGAGAATGTGAAGAAGATGACTGAGAACTGAGCTGAAATGGCAAATCTCCCTCTCCTGGGGAATCATCCTAAAGATAAAGGAGACAAGATCAGTTTCTAATCACAGAAAAATCCCAATGGCAACCTAATCTTCTGCTATAAACACATGGAAACATTTGGAAGTGGCAACATGTCTAATTAGCTATGCATTTTTAAGGCTCTCCATCCTGAAAGTAGAAATCTTAATCATTTCTATGAAATATATAAATCATGCTGCCACCCAATTATGGACTGGAAACTATTTACAGTCATACCTTGGTTGACGAACGCCTTGCGACTCAAATGGTTTGGCTTCCGAACAGCGCAAACTCGGAAGAGAGTGTTCCCGTTTACAAATGTTCTTTGGAACCTGAACATCTGATTTAGCTTCCATGGCTTCCAATTGACTGCAGGAGCTGCAACCAATTGGAAGTCGCAACTTGGTTTCCGGACGTTTTGGAAGTCAAACAGATTTCCAGAATGGATTCCATTCTACTTCCAAGATACCACTGTACTTAGTTACTTTATTCACTATAAGCAGACAGTTATTAAAAGGCAATGTTCATCTAACTTATTCTTCCATGGACACCATCCTCTGCATATACTAAATGCAAAAACAAGAGAGTACTTTATACATCCATGTACTGATCTAAACGGTATCCCTTTGCTAAAGGAAGGCTTTCTGACCCAGTGGAGCTTTCAGACAGAACAAGAATGAAGGGAATCTTCAGGTACCTCCTCCTCCCTACACCACCACTTCCTATGCTGTTCCAAAGGGCCCAACCCTCCAGAGCACATCAAACCTGTTTTTATTAATCACCATTTGCAAATTGGTTACACTTATTTTAGACAAAGGGGTCACTTCACCTGGGACATGCCAGTCTACTGTATACCAGCTCATCTTCCCCCTGCCACCCTGACTTCACCACCAACTGTTTGTTTGAATGTGTTGCTGTCCATTTACTGTTTTGTTTTAACATATTCCCAATTCATTTCACATATATATTTCAACAGTTTTCATTTTCAGTAAACAAGCGAGGAAAGGGGTTATCATGTGATGGGTAGAGAAGAGAGCTGAAAGGTTGAGTATAATACTAATAATAATAAACTTTTATTTGTATCCCGCCTTCCCTGGTCAAGACTGGGCACAGGGCAGCTAACATCAAATATATAACATTGGTATAAAATCAAACAATAATTAAATTACCTCCTAAAAACAAGTCAGGATAGTTTGCAAGTTAATTTCTAAATGCCCTCCAGGGATGTTGCATCTGAACTATATAATGGATCATCATGCACACCAAGAACCACTTACCAGTTGCGTAAAAGTAGATGTAGGGTGTACATTTCTAAATACATAATTTAAAAATGAAGTGTGTAAATAAAGTCAGGTAGTGAATTCTTACCTGAAGTAGCTGGATTTGAACAAACTGTGTGCCAGCTGAAGAATCTCTTACTGTTAGGCTTCCATTTGGCAAAACACTATTGCATGACCGATTCCCATGGTTAGAAGAACTAACTTTATCACTTTTGCCTTTTCTTATGCCAGAGTTAGGGCTTCCTGAAATAAAGTAATTGACGTGTGTAATACAAAGTCATGTTCCAAGGAATTGAACATATGTACTTCTAAATAATGTCTTTCAAAAAAGCTTTTAATATAACAATATATGCTTTTCACCAAAGAAAGTAGGTAATTAGGTAGTAGGTAATACTACACATGGCATATAAAAACCATGGAGCTGAATCCTGATATCCCATTAGTAAAACTAAGCTTACAGAATCCTGCACCTCATAGCAGTATTCAAAACTCCCATTGTTCTGGGTGCATTTTGCGACAGGGAATTTCATTAGTGCAAGCAGTTTTTGAGCTCTGGGTGCAGCACTGCACCCCAGATTTAAGATTAAAATTGCAGAGTGGAAGGAAAGGAGGACTTTTTTCTGCCTCCCCACTTCCAGCTACTCTCTGGAGACTGGAGAAGAGACCCTCGTAAGAATATTAGGGAGGTGGGCAAGGAAAGAACTAGATCATGTGAAAAACGAACGTAGTATTTTAGCTGCAGTTCTTTCTTTTTCAGCTTTGTATTTTTGTTATAAAAAGTGTGCCTAGACATTCCGTTCTAGTGCCTATAACCTAGGTTTAAGGTGCCATTTAGCTCCTAGCTTTCATATCTCAGTTTCTACCTCCTAGACCAACCCAGTTACTTCACTTCTCCAAATATAATTACCGTATTTTTCGCCCTATAGGACGCACTTTTTCCCCTCCAAAAATGAAGGGGAAATGTGGGTGCGTCCTATGGGGCGAATACAGGCTTTCGCTGAAGCCTGGAGAGCGAGAGGCTCTCGCTCTCCAGGCTTCAGGAAGCTCTGTGCAACCCTCTGGAGGGTCGCGCACAGCTACCTGCCCTCCCGGGCTCTGCGCAGTTCTGCGCGACCCTCCGGAGCCCGGCGCCAAGCCGCGCTGGCCTCCGGGGGGCCGCGGAGAGCTGCCTGCCCTCTCGGGCTCCGTGCAGCTCTGCGCATCCCTCTGGAGCTCGACGCCAAGCCGCGCTGGCCTCCGGAGGGTCGCGCAGAGCTGCCTGCATTAGGAAGCCTCAGCGCGCCCGGGCTTCGCACAGCTGTCCGCAAGCCTGGGTAGACCGGCGCGGCTCCCTAGGCTTGCGGATAGCAGGCTCTTCTGGGGGCTGGGGTCGGGGGAAGCTCGGGCTTCCCGCCGCCCAGTGCCTGGGGAAATAAATTTTTTTTTCTTTATTTCCCCCCCAAAAAAACTAGGTGCGTCCTATAGGGCGGTGCGTCCTATGGGGCGAAAAATACGGTACTAATGAACAGCATGGACGAGCACACAAGAGGTTGACCAAATTTCTCTGAACACCATGTTTACATCCTTAAGTCACAATAACTGAAAAAACCAATCCAACAAAACTGGACCACTATGTGTTCTAGACAAAGAAACTGCTTCACATACAGCATCAAGGTCAGAGCAGATATAATCAATATGTACATGCCCGAGGAAGGATTAGTGAACATGGTTAGAATTGGGTGATAAGGGTATTTTACAATTACCATTTCATACAAAAGTAAACATTTAAGAAACAGGGAAAGAGCTTCATTAAGCAATATTTCATTGAACAGTGTTCTATCATCTGTAGAGGATGATAGAGAATACCCACTACTAGAACATAGCAAAATTACCCCAATTTGAGCAAGTCTTCTAAGAAGTGAGGCTCTATTCACCCGAATAGCCCCAAACTAACCATGATACTACCTTAGTAATCTATGATGGCTTGTACCAGGCACACACACAAGTCTTGAAAACAATTTCACTCGGTAAATTGCATTCTGTACTGGAACAATTATATACTCACCTATGTCATTCCCATTTTCTTTCTGTTTTCTTTTCTTGGCAAGCTGAATGGCTCGATAATCTGTTCTTGCAGACCCACCACTCTCCTAATGAGAGAAGAAGGTTTATGCATGTCACCAATACAACAGGATTCTTAGGATTATTAGGTTCACATTTTAGACAATATGCTTTTCCAAACATCACTGAATAGATCCCTAGAAGTCTCCCTGCATGGTCTGAACTTTTTCTATGCTAATCAGCTTAACAGTTTAATGGGATAGTGATGCAAGCATAGGGAAATTCAATATTGAGGTCACCCATTTATCTGACTCGCAGGGGATTGGAAGTACTGTATTAAAAAGACTACCACCGAAACACGTTTTGGAAATGTAGCTCAAGACTATGGTCCTCTGTCTTCCTCAAACTAACACACATGTTTAATTCAACTACCAGTCAGAAACCCTATTTTAGCTGCGTGTGGGATAATAATAATAATAATAATAATAATAATAATAATAATACAAGGATCAGAAGAGAAGGAACTCTTCAAGATATTGCAGTCCATTTTCCTTGTTCTATAAGCAGCGAACAGGGCACTCCTTTTTATTTAGTCAGTTCCAAAGTCAACCATCACTCATTTTTGAGTACTTACAACAACTTGGGAAGAGAGGTTAATAGCACTAAGCTCCAGCTGGGAAAACAAAAAGCAAACTTTCCTCCAAATGTGATGTAGAATGTGTAACTGGGTTTAATACTTTCACAGGCAACCGCAACTTATACCACTTACGTTGTACAAAATATACGACGACTTCGTTCGTGGCAGACATTCCACAAACCCATTTGATCTGGTAGAAAGGATGGCTCATATACGGCAATATAATATCCTCAAAGCTAAGATACTAATGAAAACTACAGTTATTGAGAGCTACTGCATACCAGAAAGGAGCTGCCAGTCACCGTGCTCAGATCAGTTTCTTTCTGTGCACTGTAACTTCCTGGAGGGTTGGAGAACACAAACTGAGTCACCACTTTACTGCCTTCTTGCTGTCCCACAACATCCAGGTTAGGAAGTAAAGTTTGCTCTGCTTTACTTGGAGCCAGTAATTCAGATGCATTATTTCCACCAAGGCTGCTTGAAGGGGTTAAAGTGGCTGCGTCTACTGACAGGTTATTACTGGAAGTCAAACCATGCAGGTCTTGACTGGAACTCCTTGTGGACAACGATGCTAGGGAGCCTAAGGCTTCTGCATTCACAGTCTGTACATCATCCAAATTTAAAGTGCTTTGCTGTAAAACTGTGGCAGTGGTTCCCAGCAGAAGAGAGCTGTCCAGGCTGTGTGGAATGTCACTGCTAGCCACTAAAATCAGTGGGTCAACTGTCTGACCAAGAGAACTGCTACCAACGGAAAGATTGCCCCCAAGCGTGGAGCCAACGGAAGCAACATCTATTGTGAGAATTCCAGAGTTTATCAGAGCCATGTCTGTTGAAATTCCAGAGGTGTTTCCAGAAACACTGGAAAAAAGGGACACAAGGTCTACATTGCTGAGGTCACTTTGTCCTGAACTGGCAAGTTCGCTGCTAGGCGTGAGGGAACCGATAGTTTCCATCTGATTTAAGAGATCTGAAACGAAAATTTAGCATGTTAGTACCATCGTGCCCATGGAACATGGGAATCAAAAGCCAACAATAAGCCCCACCTGCTGCCTCTACTTCTAACTTGGCTGCCCTGCCATTCCTCCAAACATCCTGCTGTCTAAATCACTCCAGCCAACATCCTTCTCACCTTGCAGAAGCCAATGTTAGCTAGGAGCCTATTTCTGCTTGTCACTATTCTAGTCTGTCTTTTCGGATCATTTTCAAACCCTGCCTCCCTCTTATGCACACACAGTGGCATGGCTGCTGTTCAAGGTCAGGGTGCCACATACTATGAGAATGGCTTGAATCAGTTTCCTGTATGTTATGCAGACTGAGAGGTACATGCTGCATTTCCCCAGATTCTGGCACCATTACTTACCACTCAGTTTGGCTAAACCACATAGGAAACCAATTCATGCAGTTCTCACAACCATGTAGAGCTTCTATCATACAGAAGCAATTTTCAGTGGCAAACAAGCCACTAGTTATATGGAATTGACCATAAAGTGCCTGAAAGCATGAGATCAATGTCTGAGAAAACCACAAGTTGACACCAGTATCACTCAGTCACTGCTCCTGCTGTAAGTTAGGAAATACTATTATAAATTAATGCCCTCCTTTTAAAAGGATACAACACCCCATAGTAATTACAGTGGTACCTCAGGTTACATACACTTCAGGTTACAGACTCCGCTAACCCAGAAATAGTACCTCGGGTTAAGAACTTTGCTTCAGGATGAGAACAGAAATCGCGCGGCGGCGCAGCAGCAGCAGGAGGCCCCATTAGTTAGTGGTCTTCAGGTTAAGAACAGTTTCAGGTTAAGAACGGACCTCCGGAACAAATTAAGTACGTAACCAGAGGTACCACTGTAAATGGCAAGGACTTAGGAGAAAAGCATTTGAAACCACAACTTATTGGGCTTTCTAAAATAACCAATGTTTCAATACCAAAAATAAATATATTATGTTTTAGATATAACACATACCAGCTATGACTTATTGCCAAGCAGTCAGTCAACGGGTCATACCTGCACTAAAATTGTGTTGCTTGACCATGTGTGTTTTCATACTATGCTTGGAAGTGAACAATTTATTACAGCTGGATACAGGGCAACGCGTCTTCAGTGAGTCCACATCCTGAAGGTGTTTTTTGGAGTGAATATACAGACTACTACGTGCCGAGAACTTGGCACAACAACCTGAAATAAGATATCAAAGTTTAGGTACCGTCCCTGTATTTACATTTTTAATTTATAGCCTCTTTTCATTTAGATGCCAAAGGCAATTATCAGGATTCCCATTCCATTCCACAAAATTATCTGTCATGATTTTTTTGTATGTACTGTCATAAAAAATGTGGAAATGTTATTAATACAAAGTAATGTAATATGGAAAATCCAGACTGCAATCCTATACTCACTACAGTACTTGAGAATAAGCTCCACTATGGGAATTACTTCTCAGCAGACATAGGCTGTTAGTGTGGAAAACTTAAAATGTCACAAACAAGCATGTATAGGGCATCCAAAAGTGCCAGAACAAAACCAAAAACACCTTTTTAAAAAGTAGTTTTGGAGGGGAAAACAAGAAAGGGTTTCTCCTATCCATGCTGTGCTATGAACGTGCTTTTCTCCCCATTGTATGATTCAGCGACAATTCAAACCTGATGCATAGAGCAGCTGCCATCTTCTCTAATTTAACCCTCTCTGCATGACTAGGAACAAAGGAGATAAACACAAGCATACAAGAGCACATATACAAATAATACCTTCTACTGGACATTCAAATGGCTTTGTGCCAAGATGAGTTATACTATGGCCTTTCAAGTGTTCGGCTCTTGTGAAGGATTTTCCACAGCCTTCTACAGAACATGTAAACCTTCTGTCATCTTCATGTTTCCTACAATAAGAATTAAATAAATTCAATATGAAATACTAAGGGCACAGGCATCAATGATTATAGGTTGGATCCTAATCATTTTAGCTGAACATGTGCATATTGCTATACTGTACCTGGAACACTTAAACCAGAATTCCACAATCTGGTACCCTTCAGCTGTTTTAGACAACAACTCAGATCAACCCCAGCCAGAAGGGCCATGATGCTTGGGGCCCAACAGCACCAAAAATAATATTCCAGATAAAATGCATATGCCTTTCCCATGGGAAGCAAAGCTTATTTATCTTCTTGTATTCATCTCTTTCCCTTTTCGCACCCTCCCGATTTGTTATTTCCCCCAGTGAAAAAGTTTAAAGTGCAAGCTCTTTGAGGACCTTGAAACAGCCATGTACAGTCAGGCAATTTACCTTTTGTGCCTTAATAGCTTGGACATGCTAGTGAAAGACCAGCCACAACCTTCAAAGTCACAGATGAAAGGTCTTTCACCTGGAGGAAAGCAAAAGCAAAAAAATTTTTTTAAAAAAACAACGAATGCAATTACCCAACATTTCTGATAACCCCCCACACACAACTGCTCACTCTCACATGTTATTCTGGATGTCTAATAATTTTATGTTTACTATTGATTTAATTGTTCTGTTTTGTGCAGCTTATGAGCTACTTTGAGAACCTTAGCTAAAACCAGTTCAATAATTTTTTAAATAAACAGAAGAAACATTCTCACCCATCCAATGACCCTTCTCCCTGATTCCTCTCTTGAGTTAAATAGCTTTGGTTCTTTAACACCAGAAGATTCAGAGCAAGTCATGCATATAGCTTACATTGCTCAAAATGCTGTTGACCCCAGGCAAGCAATATGCACAGTTGTTTAAAGGACACTCTCCCTATAAATCTGAAAATACTATTTCAAGTTTACCAAATCCAAGGAAGCCTTACTTTTATAAATCAGTTAAACATTAAGTTCTATTTGCTTCCACCACCCACTCACTTAAGCTCAGGTTTGCTGGTTTTATTTAAGTAGAAGTTAACTTCTACTTAAGATAGCAAGCTAGCAGCGCACCCAAGGACACAGAACAACACCAGGATTCAAGTAAATCAAATAGACTGGGGGAGGGAAACCCACACACAAAACTGTGTTTATTCCTTAGTACCACAACTCCATCTAAGAATCAAGGACACATTTCAATTCAACATAATCAGTTTATCTATTAATGACAAACCAACTTTAACTAATGCCCTAGCTTCACACCTGTATGACTTCTCATGTGGATTTTCAGTCGGCAGGCTTTGTCATACTGCTTGTTGCAGCCGGGGAAGGAGCAGGAGAACAGTTCTTGTTCCCTGAAGTGGATTCGATTATGAGAAAATAATGCACTCACTGTTATGAAGGTCCTCTCACAACCTAGAGAAAGAAGGAAGAACCAAACTCTGCTTTAGTGGAAAACAAAACAATTGGGTATTACCATGAACTAGAATATTATTACCACCATGATCTAGAAAAGTTCATGGTAATAATAATATCATTTAAATTGTTTTAATGGTGTATCTTACTGTGTATATTACGTTGACATATCATTTCCAAGTACTATGGGGGGAACTGCCTGAAAAGTGGTCTACAACCCCATTAAATAACAGTAGGTAGGTAGGTAGATACATAGATAAGATAGATACCTCATTAAACTATGAAGACCTTTCTGGGAAATTGTTCTGGACTAAGTTTATTTCCAGTACTGCAGTATAATGTCACAGCTGGAGTTAGTTTTTTGCATCTCCTTTTCACCAGTACACTGCCATTCTTATACATCACTCTGCAATTTCCCTTTCTTCTAAACTGGAGTGCAAATTTTCTTGTTGTTTCGCTAACCTTTACTTTCCACATCTAATATTGTAGCATTCCAGCATGGTAAGCATTCTAATGTACAGAGACAATGTACATGATAGCTAATCTAAAGTAGATTATCTCAAGAGTACCAAATGCAGAAAACAAACAACAGATGAAGGCCTTCATGTCTGCCTTCTGTGCTTCTCTCTTGCAAACAGAATGCTGAAAGTTATGCACAAGTCTAAATATTACAGTGCACTTATACTGAACCCCACTACAGGGTCATTCCATAACAAGTGATCCAATTTTACCTCATCCAATTTTCTTAATATTTTGTACACTTGTTGAATGATCAAAACTAAGTTTATATCTAACATTTTAATTTTTTTTAAAAGTGTACAAAATATTAAGAAAACTGGATGACATGAGGTTAAAAAAAATATATGAATCATTTGATATGGAATGACCCTACAGCATTGTGGATGTTCTGGCTTGGATTCAAACCCTCACTTACCTGCAAAGCTCAACGAGTAATTTCGGGTCTTATCACTATCTCTATTCTATCCCACAAGGTGCCGAAACCACCTAATGAATAGTGCAGGGCAAAGTATTTTTTCTTAGAAAGATTAGTACTGCAAGTGGGTACTGAGATTGCGATTCAACTCTCTTCCGCTTTTTCCACTGTGCAAAACAAATCCACACTGCACATTTAAAGTGCACGACTTCTCCCCAAAGAATCCTGGGAACCGCAGTTTGTTGAGGGTGCTGGAACTGGTAACTGGAAGCTGGGCTCCAAGGATTCTCTGGTGGAATTCGTGCGCTTTAAACGTGCAATGGATGCAGCCAGCAATCCGGGGGTCCGAACGGATTTTGAGGCGGGGCTCTTAGCCAAGTCCGAAAGGCCGAGACTTGTTGACCTTTGTAAAAATACTTAGAGGGAGAGCTGCCGGCTGCTTACCTGGATACTCGCAGCGGTAAGGCCGGTCGGGCTCCAGGTGGCTTCTCCGTTGGTGAGCGCCGAGGCGGGCGGCGCTGGGGAAGCGCTGCCCGCACGCCTCGCACTTGTGCGTCGCCTCCTGCTCGTGGGCCCGGCCGTGCGCCCGCAGGTTGTAGATGGTGGTGAAGCGCTTCGAGCAGCCGGGCGCCGAGCAGGCGAAAGGCCGCAGCTTGTCGTGCGAGTGCAGGTGGCGCCGCAGCTTGTAGGCCGTGGCGAAGGCCCAAGAGCAGCCGGGGACCGGGCAGCAGAAGGGCCGCGCCGCCCGCCCGGAGCCCCCCGCCGCCGCTTCTTCTCCCGCTCCTCCTCCTCCTCCGCCATCCTGCGCCGTAACAGAAGCAGCGCCGCCGCCTCCGTGCGCGGACAGGCGGTGCAGTCGCAGCAGCTGCTTGCGGGAGAAGGCCTCTTCGCAGCGGGGCTCGGGGCAAGAGTAAGGCGCGGGAGTCCGAGGCGGGCCTCCTGCCGAGGCCTCGTCGGCAGCGCCTGAGGAGCGCGGCGCCTGAGGAGGAAGGAGCGGCGCGGGTGGCGGAGGCGGCTGCGCGGGCCCGCCGAGGCTGAGCAGCCCGTTCTCGAAGCGCACCAGCAGGCTCTGGTTGTTGATGGTGAGCGTGCCCGAGAACGAGGAGCCGGCGGCGCCGGGGTCGTCGTCCTCCGCCGTCGCCGCCTGTCCGCTCCCCTCTGCCACGGGCCCAGGAGCCTCGGCCTCGAGTGCCCCTTCCCCCCCGCCGTCGCCCGGCTTCTCCTCTCGCGGAGGCGGCGGCGGCGGCTGCGTCGTCGTGGTGGCGGCGGGTTCCTGCGAGGGGCTTCCGGAGGCTCCGCCCCGCACCAAGTTGAGCACCAGCAGCAGAGCGTCGCTGTCGTGCGGCTGCCCGGGGCCCGCGGGCGGCAGGGCGAAGGCGCTGCTCGCGGAAGGCCCCTGCGGAGGCTGCTGAGGGGCGGGCGGCGGAGGAAGAGGGGGAGGAGGCGGCAATGGCGGCGGCGGTTGCTGCTGCTGAGGCGGTTCCGGCGGCTTCTTGCCCTCCAGGAGCAGCAGCACCGGGAATGTCACGTCCAGGCCCCAGGCTCCCGCCGCCGCTCCTGCCCCCGAGTCCCGCGGCTGAGGAGGTCGGCGGGCGGGCCCTGAGGAAGAAGCCCCCTCTCCAAGGGCCGCGGCGCCGCTGCCGCCATGTTGCTGGGTGCCGGGCTCGGGCCGGGCCGCCTCCACCGCGGCAGGCAGCCCCTGCGTTTCCATCTTGGGGGTCCCTGTAGCAGCGGCTGAAACCGGAGCCGCGGGGCGGGGCCGGCGGGGCGGGTGGAGAAACCCGGAATGCGGATCGCTCAGCGAGAGAGAAAGACAACAGCTCAGAGAGGGGATCCGGAGCCAACGCGGCTGGGTGGAAAACCCGGACACGGGATTGCTATGTGGAGCATGCAATAGTGCAGGAAGGTGCGCCTCGCGGAGCGGAGAGAAGTCGGGGAAAAGGGGATGCGAAAATAAGAGCAGTCGTCTTGGATCAGGCCAGTGGCCCATCCCGTCTTAACACCCTGTTCTCACAGTGGCCAACCGGATGCCCGTGGGAAACCTGCAAGCAGGGTTGAGTCGCAAGAGCCGTCTTCCCTCTCCTGTGGTTTCCAGCAACTGGAATTCAGAAATATTGCTGCTTTCGACTGTGGAGGCAGAGCTATAGCCATCGTGGCTGGTAGCTATTGATAGCCCCTCTCCTCCATGAAGTTGCCTAATCCTCTTTTAAAGCCCTCCACGTTGGTGGCCATCATGCAAAGAAAGGGATCCTGCAAAGTACAGCGATGTGCAGGTGGAACACGTGAGAATGTGCTTTTCATGTGCAGGACGAACCTAAGTGTCCGAAATAATAAGGTCTCCACCTCCTCTGTTGAAAGAGGCTTACACCTAGATTGGATCCTTCTTGTTTACATTTATTTATTACTTTATTTGGGAATTGCCTTTCACATACACCTTAAGGTGATTTAAATCATACCAGTGAAAGCAACAAAAGCAGGTTTAAAAAACAGTGCGAAAAGCAACTAAAGATACTGTTACCCGTCACCGCAATCTCCAAGCAGTGCAAGATCCCAGGGGTTCAAGGCACTTACCCAGGGGTTCAGGTTTCCTTGCAGTGAGGGCCTGCCAATATTGTGATGTCTTTAGAATATATGGTTTATTTACACATATATACAACCTGAGCCTGGGATGGAGAGGTTCACAGCATTAACACTCCAAGAGACTCTTGCTTCTCCCATAGCAGAAATAAGGCATAGCTCTGTCCCCCAGCCTACCAGCTTCTAGCTCACATAACTCAACTCTCCACTCTGGCCTTTATCTTGTGAACTACCAGCGAGCTGAGGGAGGGGGGGTTCACCCATTTGTTTTCTGGCACAGAGCTACTTCCTTTGTTACATTAATGGCCCACACTTAGAGGGTCTTTAGCTCACCAGTAAGCTAGCCTGGCTATTCAATGAATTGAATCCACCTGTATCCAGGAATTAGAAGAGGGCTGAAGTATACAGCCTATCCCCAACAACTCATAACAATACAATACATAAGTTGTAAAGAAACGTGATGTATTCCCACCACGTACAGATGACGCCCCACTTTACACGGGTTCAGGCACCCTACACACAGTGAAAATCGTGTAAGTGGGGAGCACCCTTTAAAAGCCTCCTTCCTCTCTCTCCAAATTACTACTCTCCAAAAATCAAAAATACTGCACCAAAAATATCCACAACTGGAATTGCTGCAATATCATTTAAGCAGCAGGTGGTGCTATACCACCTTGGAAAAAAATTACATGTTGGTCCTAACTTTTGACACACCCATTGTGATTTTTTGAACTTTTTAAAAAAAATCATCACAACACATCTTTGTTATTATGAAATGGACGATCTCCTCATGCTTAGCCAACTGCATTATTTCTAAAGCTTTCTGAAACTGCCCCCTTTCTGTATTGCTAGGTTATTTCATACACCTGCTACAATATGAGTGTGGCACAATCACCGGGGCAGTGGAGAGAAATTCAATTCAGTTCACATTTAAAGGTTTCTCTGCTAAATTGGCACTTCCTGAAATGGTGTGTGAACCAAACACTCAGCCATCCTTCAAGATTCAAACTTCTCTGAATTCTGCAGTGAATTAATGAGTACAAAAATTCATATACTAGGTATAGGGTGCAAAAAATCCATCTGTCTGTCTATCATTTGTTAGTCACTTTTTTCAAAAAGTGTCCCAAAGCAACCTGGAAGCCAGCTAAAAGCAGGTAAAGATAAGCCTTTAGCACCTAAAAACAGATGAAGGTGGAACTACACATGCCTCCCTGGGGGAAGCATTCCACACGCAGGGAGCCACCACTGAAAAGGCCCAATCTTGTGTTGCCAGGCTCTGCACCTCCCATGGAGAGGGCACACAAAGAAGGACCTCAGATATATTAGTGAACATAGTACCCAAATATTCACTGGTGAAAATTGCTTGCAAATTTGCCCTATAATGCTGAATAATATTCATGAAGACTCTTAAAAGAAAATCTGCAAACTGATGTGGAAATATGGAGAACTGAAATGAAGACTGGAAAAATGAGAAACCATAACTGACACATTTGCACATTCCTAGCCACAACTTTGCTAATCCAAGCAACTGCTAAGCAAAACAAGTATCTAAACCGCCATGAGGAAAAGCTAAGTGATGCTGAGCATTTTCTGTTGGAATTCCATATGCTTCATGATGGACCTGCATATTATAACATGGTAAACTCAAAAATTAATCTGGCCTTGTCACAATGGATCATCTGTCATTGTATTCAGTGCTGTAATTTGTTAAATTAAGAGACATAAAGGCCTGATTTGGATGTCGTAACAAACCATGCCACCATATGATCTTGGTTTGTTATTTTAGTTCGTGAACAAACAATTTGCAGTATCAACATATCTACACAACCCCATTTCTGCTCATTAATTTATCTGCCTTATAATGAATATATCTGTACCCAGAAAAGTTATTTACATAGTTTGCTTTGTTGATGCAGTTTTAGTATATCCAAATTCATATGAGGGATATTGGCCACAAACATGTTTATTATATCTTGTCAAAATATTGTCTTTATATTTATATAAAATCTTTATAAGCGTCTTTTTAAAAAGCAACAACCCATTATTGGGAACAGGGTGTCCTTAAGTCTCTATTGTAGGGCTCGCTTGGGCTATTCAGTGAGATACAATTCATTGACAGCTTAAATTGAACTGCATTCCGCTGGCACAAAACCATGGAAGGAGGAAAAAACCTTGCAATGAATCGCAGTTATGAAGGAACCAAATGTCATCTAGTTCAGCCTCTTCTACACCCCCTGCACAAGAAGGGAAATCGAATGAGGCAGTTCCTGTTCACAGAATCATTTATTGGAAGCAATTACTTTAGGTGCAAACAGAGTGTGTTTTCTACATAATTTTAACCAAGGTGATTCCATGAGCAAGTATGGCAGAAATTGAGACCCCCAATTTACCCAGTATCTATGCAGCGTTCAGTAATTAAACCCACGGTTCTGCCACTTTTCATGTATTACAACTACTTTATAAAAAGCAGTTTGAACTATTTAGTTAAAACTGTTTTTGTTGATGGTTAACTATTCTAGATTAACAATTAATAATTACATTACTCTTTGGGGGGGATGATTATTTACATCTCATTATTAGCACATTGAAATAGCAACAGAAAAGTGTCTTTCCTCACCTAGGTTGCGGAAACGAAGAAAGCTAATTGGGTTCTGACCTTTTTGTGAAAGGACTGATCAGTTCTTGTACTGAAATCAGATTCCTAGCCTCAGAATGTGCTCAGAGGCATGCTGTTCTTTAATTCTGACTGTTTGTCTGTTGTACCAGGCTCTGGTTACTGGATCTTGGGGTTCAACTAAAATAATAATAATAAAAACTAACAAGGAATGAGCCCTCCCTTCTCTGATGTCACTGATGAAGCTAAATATCTGGCTTTACAATCTATGGCCAAAAGCTTTTAAGTGAGATGTTGAAATATTTGGCATTGTCTGCATGCAAACTGGGTGTGGGTAAGCTCCAATAGAACCGGGAGCTTTTTAATTTATTGGCAAATTCCAAAATCAAAAGCACATGAAGATAATATATCACTGTGTATGTGTGTGATCTGGCATCTAGTCAGGAATGTTCTGAACAGAGAAGTAGCTTTTGTGACCTAAGAGATACAACTGTGAGCAATTTTCACATTGGATATATCACCACCGAGTGTGATTCATCACTGCAGCTCTGTCAGCCTGAAAAGATCTCGACCACCAGCAACCGAGGCCCATTCCTGCCTCCATTCCAGCTAGCAGCCACAACCCCATCACAGCTGTGGCATTGTGCAGCACCAAAAGGCACCAACTCTTCTGTAGGCCATTTGCAAACTGTGGTGCAAAATGGTGGCATCTTCTTTCCTTTTTTATGGCTGGAGATGATGTTGGAGAGGAGATGAATGATGCTATGAGACAGGATGACAAGGAATGCAATGTGGCGGTGATGGTGAGTTCTCACATCCTTGATAGACAGATGGGGATATAAGCAAGGGGATGGACAAACAGTAGAATTCAGGGGAGGTGAGTGAAGAATGGGTTGTGGGACAACTCTGAGCCATCCATCCATAGTGCTTGGAAGGCAAATCATCCAGGCAAACAATTAAGTGAATGCTTCACCCTTGTTGTGTATATAAATTAGCTAAGGAATCGGGTATCCAAATCAACAAATACAGTGGTACCTCGGGTTAAGCACTTAATTCGTTCCGGAGGTCCGTTCTTAACCTGAAACTGTTCTTAACCTGAAGCACCACTTTAGCTAATGGGGCCTCCTGCTGCCGCCGCGCCGCCAGAGCACGATTTCTGTTCTCATCCTGAAGCAAAGTTCTTAACCTGAAGCACTATTTCTAGGTTAGCGGAGTGTGTAACCTGAAGCATATGTAACCTGAAGCGTATGTAACCCGAGGTACCACTGTAAATGGATTTCCAATGGGGGCCCGTGTCAGACCCTCCTGAGCAGCTGAAGTGCTGACACATAGGCATAAATATTCTCATAATAACAATGCTGGATTTTGACTACAAACCTGAAAAATGGGTTGCTTAAAAGAGCATTAGAAATGGAACATGTGTGTCCTTATTTCTTGTGCTTGGATTTCTAGACTGACAAACAATCATAGATGTTGACAATACAACTCATGCTGGATAGATTCTTTGGTTGGGAAACATTCACTGCGATGGAAATATGTCCATTACTGTTGAATGTTAAGTAGGTTGGAGTTTCCAAAAAATGAAAATAAAAAGGGTCCACTGTCCTGGAAGGCAAACTCAGAGGCGTGTTTATTATGCCAACTTAACTAAGGCTTGTTGAAGACCAGAAGAGCATTGTTCAAAGCCTGTTGTTGTTTAAAAAAGGCAGAATAAAAAAATTAGTATAAGGTTAACAACTCAAGGCTTGTTCCAGGATATTGTCATCTACCACCTTATGTGGAAGAGTCACCTTCAGCTTCTTGTCTTTCTGCATGGCTTGGCAAATGGTTTCATATGCATTGTTGTTGCCGGACCAACAGCGTCTAGCAACCTGTCCATAGGGAACAAAAATAAATGGGTATAAATTAAGAAGAGAGTCATTTATCTCTCAGCTATGTCAATCGTAGGAGAACACTTCTAATCAAATGGTTCTCATTTTTAACACATTTGATTTCTCAGTACAGTATCTAGCTCCTTCACCCCCTTGGCCAGGCATAGGCAAACTCGGCCCTCCAGATGTTTTGGGACTACAATTCCCATCATCCCTGACCACTGGTCCTGTTAGCTAGGGATCATGGGAGTTGTAGGCAACAAACATCTGGAGGACCAAGTTTGCCTATGCCTGCCCTTGGCTGTCACCCCCCCCCCCCCCGCTTTAAAGTAAACCTGGTATGTTTTAGTTCCAGTTACAAGATTATTGGCCAGCACTAACCACAGGCAGTCACAATATCAACAGGGCGCTTCACAAGGTTCCCTCTGACGTAATGGAAATACTAATGTGATCTGTAATATGTTCCATTTTAGATACAGGCATTTCTTGAGCAATCGCTGCTCATTATATGGGGAGGTGTTACACGGAGCTAAGCACTCCTAAAACTGACTGAGTACAGTGATAAAGCCTTTCCCACATTTAAAGAGGCTAGGAAAACACTGTGCTTTGAGGGTTTGAAAATCAGATTTAAAGTGTTCAAATTTGAGGAAAGTGCCTGGAGGAATCCTGCAGTTATCGCATCAGTTCAAGCTTTGTTTACAGGCTGCTGTTTTTATCATCTGCCTCTGATAAACGAGGCTTATTAAGAGTGTTCCTCAGTGGCTCAAGCCTAAAGATTAACTTCCTATATGACATACCTACATCTCTTTCAGCAGTGATAAAGGGAGTTACATGCAGAGCAAATCCCTTTTGAGTCCTGCATGATAAATTGACTATGTCCACTAAAGCAGGATGGTTTTCAGTTGCTCAAATCCCTCCTGCAAAATTAAAGACCCCAAATCCAAGACCCAGTAACACTGACCTGCCTCCACAAGAAAAACCTTCAGCTACTGGAGCTAGACTGGAGCCATATACCTCACTGCACAGGACTATGGCTGTTTTTTAGAATGTTGTACAGGACAAACTCCTGGAGACCTTACTAAAGCTGCAAGTGCTACATTTCATTAGAAAATAGCTAGCCGAGGAAATGACGCTTTGTGATTTCACGTGAACTTACTAAGACATTTATGAAATTCTGTATTTTTCAATACATTTAAAAACAAACAAACACCCAAGCAATATTTCAGAAAAAGCAGATCAAGCATATTGGCTTACTCCATTGGAAACATCCCAGCTTAGCATCATCTTCGCACGTTCTTCTGCATCTGAGGAGCCATCCAGGACAAGGCCAAATCCTCCGTTTATCACTTCTCCCCTTTAAAATGAATTAATTTTTTTAATCACTTTTTTGGTGTCGAATAAATCACATGCCAGTGCACTACAATCAGACACACATTTGGGAGGAATGAAAGATACGTATTTGACCTAAAACAGTGCTGTAATTGGGCACATTTAACTGATGGCAAATGGCCAGTTCAAGTAATGGACTCTGAGAATCCTGGTGCAGGATAAGGATTTTGCCTTTTCCCACACTATGCCCAGCCAGCAAGACCAATTCTTATTAAAGTGCCAGTGCCAAGGGTTGAGCTTGCTGTAATTCTCCTGAGTACAAGATAGTCCAAACAAGTACTTGTTTAAACAAATAATGAAAATGCCTGCATGTCTGATGATTAAGTGGCTAAAGTTACTGGGTTTCTCAAAGGCCAGGCCATGGCTATTGATGTTTATTACACTGCAGTGTGGAATTCAGTTGCTGCATGGTGGCAATGACCACTTTGGAATATGAATAAAGACCTTGGAATAGGGTCCTAATGGAATTATGAGAAAGTATTCTTTCATTAATTATTTAATTAATAGGTTGTTTTTTTCCAGTTCCTCCAGGCTTTGTTATTGGGGGATTTGTTTTCATGTTACCTTGCTGACAAGTCATAAGAGCATGACGTTTGCCCTTTGCAAGTGTCAATCTAGTCCAGTACAGTAATAACTCGGTTTAAGAACAGCCCTCTTTACGAACTCTTTGGTATAGGAACTCCGCAGAACCGGAAGTAGTGTTCTGGTTAGCGAACTTTACCTCGGTCTACGAACGGAAGCCAAAGGGTCAAAGGGCACCGGTGGCAGGAGGCCTCATTAGGGAAAGTGAGCCTCGGTTTAAGAACGGCTTTGGTTTAAGAATGGACTTCCGGAACTGATTAGGTTCATAAACCGAGGTACCACTGCACTCTGCATACAGATGCTCCTGGAAGTTCACAAGTAAGGCATGAAAGGGATGGTCACTGCCTATTCTTTACCCCAGGTAGCTGGTACTCAACGTCTGCCTGGTACTTAAATGTATACCACATCATATCTGGATGTTCCTATTTTAGTTATTGTGGATAACGGGGACAAAGCAGAACTCAGCGGACTCTATAACCTATAACACATGCTGTAAATGTGGCTGAAGGCCTTCAAATGTTTTTAAAGCCGAGATGATAACAGATTAAACCGAGCAGAAGCTGATACTTTAAGGGTGCCTTCATATGTAGAGGCTGCAGCTGGGGGGAAAAGTAATTAAAGACTGTGCTACTTTTCTTAGATGCCCAGGTGCGAGTCAAACACAGAAAACAGTTAGCTGGATAGCTCTGTAAAATCCCACCCCACTGTTCTTTAAAGAAAGTTTTAGACTACAACCACAATAAACTAGTTTCAACTCTATTTAACTGCTATATTTATTTAAAGGTATGCCTCCTTTTTAAAAAAGGCATAGTTCTACACTTCTGTGTTGAAAGAAGCCATGGCAGTTAAACCCATTTCCAAACACTCTAAATTTTTCTCCAGCTATGGCAACAAGTCAGAATTTGACCAAGGCTGAAGCCTAAGTTGTGTAAGCATTCTAAAATGCATAGGTTTTGCATCTAACAAAGTATCCAATGAGCAGAATGACTTCTGCTCAGCCAACAAAAGATTCTCTCCCTCTCCTCCCCTGCTTGTATCCTGTGCGCACACACCCCACCACTGCTCTGGGGGGCCCCAACTCTCTGGAGCAGGTTTGGGGTGGGACGAGAGGGAGGTGAAATTCTACTCCAGAGGAAAACTGGATATACCTTAAAATACTGGATATACCTGAAAGAGACAGAATGGACGCCAAGGTTATGTGTAAAGGGTTAGATTTTACAACCGCAAACAAAGAAAGATTCTTGTTGCATTTTAAAGACTAAGAAATTCATTATGGCATGAGCTTCCACCATCAGATGCAATCCACAAAAGTGTTTGCTTGTCTTTTGTTGGTGTTTAAGGTGCTACAAGACTTTCCCCTATTTTTGTTGAAGGCTAACATGGCTAGAAGTTCTTAAAATGGATTAAAGTAGCCACACAGTGAACTGAGATTCAACTAATGTTGCCAGGGGGAATGTCTTCAGGGAGCAAATCAGTATTGCCACAGAGGCCAGCATGATATGAGTAAAAAATAGATGTTCAGGCAATGCTGAGATTAAGCACTAATTTAAAATGCTTTCCCAAGTGCTGTAGTTCCTCCACCTATCTCTGTGTGGTGCCTGGTCAGAATCAGTTTCTAAGTTTCTCCTACTGGAGTCAAATCTAGAATTCTGCCAAGCAGTTCAATAGCTAAGACAGTGAGGTCTAGGTTTGCCCCACTCCACATGCCTAAAAATGCTCATAAATTAAACTTACAACAAGTCATGTTTGTTAAGCTGAATTTTCCAACAAGTCTTCTCACTTTTATTGGAGAGCGCTTTGCCCTCATTAGTACTGGGTCATATATTCAAATAATTAAAGAAAGATGTGGCATTTTGACCTAAGCTACCTCCTATAATTTCCAGATGTCTCCATCCAAGGTGATCAAAGAACTCCAGGCCCCTCTTGCAATCAAGACATCACACTGTTGACTGTGTACTTCATTTGGTAAATTGCCTCTGTCTCTTTGTTGCTACAAGTCACTTTGGCCTCCTGCTAATAAATGGGCTTTCAGAACTGAGCTGCCCTAACAATGGCCAACCCTAATGTAACTCCCTATATGCTCCAGCTAATAGTAAAAGGAT